CCAGGACCCCGGAGCCTCCTCCAGGTCTCCCACATGGATGCAGGGTCCCAAGGCTGTCCTCCACTGCTTTCCCAGGCCACAGCAGGGAGCCGGATGGGAAGTGGGGATGCCGGGATTAGAACCAGGGCCCACATGGGATCCCAGCACGTGGAAGGTGAGGTACCCAGCCACTGGGCTACAGCGCTGGGTCTGATTTTACTTTTTCAAATGCACATTTACTATCCTGCCCCAGAATCAAAGACCATGTCAGCACTGTGGAAACGGCGTGGAATTCAGGTTTCCTGCACCACAGGGCAGAGCCACAGGACCCACAGAGCTCTAGCCCACCAAGCCCGAAGTACAATCAGCCACACGCTGCCACGCAACTGTCAGACAATTTTAAGACCTTGTAGAGGACTTTGGGCCTCCAAAGTCGTGTCCAACTGCAAGTGATCCTACGACTCCAGCCGGCTCTGGGCAGACCCCCAAGCAGAGCACAAGGTCCAGAAGAAACACAGAGACCCCGACAGAGAACAGAATCAGACACTGGTACAGGGCAGACACGAACAAACACTACAGGCTGAGGATCCACAACCAACCCAGCACTCACAGGCAGATTCCAACAGGGTGCCAGGGCAAGTCAATGGGGGTAGGACAAACAGTGCCAGGACAACTGGACGCTCCCTTACAGAACGACAACAGAGCCCTAATCAATCACACGTGAACATTAACTCTAACTGGATCCAATCTAAATATAGTGGCTAAAACAGGAAGATCCTTAGAACAAAACAGAGGGGCCAATTAATCCTCCCCTGGCAACTGCCAGGATGCCACGTGGGCACCAGCTTGTGTTCCAACTGCTCCGCTTCCCATCCAGCTCTCTGTGCCTGAGAAGCAGTCGAGGACGGCCCAAAGCCTTGGGACCCTGCACCTGTGTGGGAGGCCCACAAGAGGCTCCTGGTTCCTGGCCCCAGATCAGCGCAGTTCTGGCCACTGCAGGCACTTGGGGAGTGAGTCAGTGGACCGAAGGCTGATCTCTCCCTCCTCCTCTCTGTAAATCTGATCTGCCTTTCCAATAAAAATAAATCAATCTTAGAAAAAAACAAACAAGAGTAAATCTTTTTGAGCTTGGATAAAACAATGGTTTCTCGGGTATGACACGCTTCAGCGATCAGCCAAGACAAAACAAACAGGACCTCGGCACAAAGTGTGCTACCCACACACGAGGCCTGTGTCCCTGCGGCTGACGCTGCTCTACAGGGAACCCACTTCGCTTTCCACAGTTCCCACCACTCCAGCCTCCTGCCTATACAGCCAGGGGGGCAGCAGCTGATGGACACACACACACACAGGCACACAGGCTCACTCCGACTACAGCCCCCAGCACATGTGCACACACACACACACACACACACACACACACGGGCACACAGGCTCGCTCCGACTGCAGCCCCCAGCACATGTGCACACACACCCCGGGCACACACACACACACACACACACGGGCACACAGGCTCGCTCCGACTGCAGCCCCCAGCACATGTGCACACACACACACACACACACACACACACACGCACACAGGCTCGCTCCGACTGCAGCCCCCAGCACATGTGCACACACACACAGCCCTGCATGCCATGTATGGAGCAGAGGGCCAGGCACTCAGACACTGCCTCACACGGCTGCAGCACCACTATCCCAGACAGCAAGACAAAACCATAAATACAGCACAGTGCCTCCACGGTGGGCTGGCAGGACTTTCCAGCTGAAGCACGGCAATGGCAACACCTTAACTTCCAAGCAGGCTTTTCTTAATTCTTACTCACCTACTTGAAAGGCTGAGTGACCCAGAGTTCTTCCATTGGCTGGGTCACTTGCCAAACTCCCGCAATGCACGAACAGAGCCAGCAACTGGGAATTCCACCGGGCGTCTCCGCTCAACCACTGTGGCTCTGTCCTCCGTGGGCCAAGGGAAGCGGAGCAGCCCAGGCCTTCAAGTACAGGATGCCTGCACACCGAGTACCACAAAGCCAACCACGGCTGAGCCGGACGGGCAGCTGCTTCCTCCACAGCAAATACAAATCTGATACGCACTTCATGGGAATGTCACAGCCTAACGATGAATGGGCCCCAACCACCTCCACTCTTAAATCATTTCGAATCTATCTTAGGGGCAGAGTCTGGCAGAGCACATGAAGCCAGCATCCCCCACAAGCACCAGCTGGAGTCCAGCTCCCCGCTAATGCAGCAAAGAAAGCAGTGGGAGACCAAGTGCTCAGGCCCCGGGGCTTCTCGTCCCCGGCTGCAACCCGCACACGATGCTGCAGCCCGGGCCGACCCCGGCCGACTCGGCCCTGTGAGGGATGGACCCGCACACGATGCTGCAGCCCGGGCCGACCCCGGCCGACTCGGCCCTGTGAGGGATGGACCCGCAGATGGAAGTCTTGTGTCTGTCTTGCCATCTCTGTCTTCCAAATGCATGAAATCTTACAAAAAAGAAAATATCCTAAATATGCCTGGATTCTACCTGAAAGCACTGAGGAAGCCTAAAGTGCTGGCTCCTGAGGAGAGAGCTGAGCGCTCAGGAGAGAGAGGCGAGAGGGAGCAACAGGCACTGCCACCACTCTTACTTCATTACTGCATCACTGATGCAAAAATAAGACTGGAAGGTTTTAAAGTCAGGCTATCACACATTACTGAAATAATGAAACAAAACCCACCTAGTTTATCAAGCCAGCTCAGAAAGGAACGCTCTAGAAGCCCTCGCTCTGAAGCCAATTCACCATAAGGAAAAGAAGGCGCGTTTTTCACCCTGAGCAAGCATCTGCACTGAGAAGGAGCGGCAGGACCTCCTCCCTCACTCCAGGCTGGTGTGTCCACCAGGCTGCAGGAGCTGCGGGGCCTCCCCCCACAGGACGCACAGAGCAGGAGCTGCGGGGCCTCCCCCCACAGGACGCACAGAGCAGGAGCTGCGGGGCCTCCCCCCACAGGATGCACAGAGCAGGAGCTGTGGGCCTCCCGCCACGAGGACGCACAGAGCAGGAGCTGTGGGCCCCCCCCCCCCAAACAGGACGCACAGAGCAGGAGCTGTGGGCCCCCCCCCCAAACAGGACGCACAGAGCAGGAGCTGCGGGGCCTCCCGCCACCCCAACAGGGGCGCACAGAGCGGCAGCCACAACAGGATTCTGAAAAATGCTTCCTGAGGTGAACTGCTAAGGTTGCAGGGTGCGAGCAAGATCACACCAGACATGTCTAAGGGTTATTAAGGAGTCTTTATTAATCAAGCTTGTTGGTAACAGGGGCCATTAGAAATAGCAAACCACAAGTCCATATGGCAATCCTGTCGTTCATAACCGTGAGAGGAACAAATGGTCATTCCCCTGAAGTCCATCCGTTAAGCTGAAGGCCTATGTCGCAGCTTCCCCAACAATATAAGTTACCCTAAGAGACACACAGTGAACAACCTGGACACACTTCCAGTGCTGCAGACACTCACCTTTCCCTGGCTTCTCTGCCCACATTCCATCACTGCCAGGCCTCACCCCTCCTGAACTCCTAACAGTACACAGATTATAAACACAAAGCATCTTAGCATTGCTATCTTCACTGTCCCACCAAGCAATGAACAGAGGGTGAGGAATACAGACACACAGGGGCCATGCTCAGGGGCTACCTGTCCTCAGAGGTACTGGGGAGGCCAAGAGGTACTCAGTACTCAGTACTTAGAGGAACTGAGGAGTGCCAGAGCAATGGAAACACAGCACAAGAGCGTGAGCCCCTCCTCACCCTGAGCCTTTTACAGGGGCTTGTGAGTGGAGCGGTTACACCGCAATGCAATACCACCCCCTCTCAGGTGACAGGTGAGCGTCACAGGTGGGCAGCAGGGAACACCTAGATGGTTGGGGGCGGGGAGTGGCCTCCAAGCCTTTGACCCTGAACTAGCTGCCTACCTCACCACACTAACCAACCGCTCAAAGCAGACGGCACACAAGCTTTTCACCATTCATACACAAATACATGTAAGACTTACTTATTTTTATCTGGAAAGCAGATTTACAGAGAGGACGGTCTGCTGCTCAAACGGTTACCATGGCCTGAGCTGGACCAGTCAGAAGCCAGCAGCTTCTTCCCAGTCTCCCACATGGGTGCAGGGTCCCAAGGCTTTGGCCCGTCCTCAAGCTGGATGGGAAGTGGAGCAGCCAGGACTTAAACCAGCGCCCACATGCGATGCTGACGCTACAGGGTGAGGTTTAAAATTTATGTTTGTCTTATTCTCACAAACAAACCAATATTACTCCCCAAATCCTGACTTTCCAGTAACACTCTCAGAAACAAACAAGGGCGGTGCTGTAGCATGTGGACCAAGGCAGCGGCGGCATCACAGGGGCGTGGGTTCAATGCCGGGAGCTCCCCTTCCAATCCAGCCACCTGCTTGGGGCCTGGGAGAGCGCTAGAACCTCCGCGCACTTGGAACCCTGCACCCTAGGAAGAGTTCTCCATCTCTCCCCCTTTCTCCTGTAGCTTTCAAATAAATGGATGCGTGTTGATGGAGTTTAAGGGGCTCCTCCCTGAAAACTCCCAGAGGAACTAGCATTTTACACACAATCAAACCAGAAAATAAGAAAACTACAAACCATTGAGGCCATACAAGCCATTGAGGCCGTTCCCCAAAGACCCCCCAGGAGCAAGCAGCAGAGGGGCCCTGGCTTCCGAGGGTCACGACGAAGTGACGCCCACGGGGTCCCCGCTGCACTTCCATTTCTCTGCGAGCGCTCCCAGGGCTCAGACAGGGCTGGCGAGACAGCGGCAGAGGGTGGCGCGTCCCAGGCCGCCCAGAGGACCGCCTGCACCCTCCGGCACCCTCCCGCAAGGGCCTGCACCCTCCGGCACCCTCCCGCAAGGGCCTGCACCCTCCCGCACCCCCCTTCACCGGCCTGCACCTCCCGCACCCTCCCGCCCGGCCGGCCGTCGTCACCCGCCGCCCCCACTCGGCGGCGGTCCCTCCCGGGCGCACTCACGGTCGGTGCAGCGACTCCTCCGCCAGGGCCTGGCCGGGCGGCGGCGGCGGGGCAGGCAGCGGGGGCGGCGGCGGCGGCTGCGGCTGCGGCGGCTGAGGCGCGGCCGGCGGCGGCTGCTGCTGCTGCTGCTGCTGCTGCTGGAACGACTTGAGGGACTCGAAGGCCTTCATCAGCTTTTCCAGAGTGGCCATGGCGGCCTCTCGCCCCGCCACGCAGGGCTCCCCCGGCACCCTCGCACAGGCCTCGGGCCGGCTCGCGGCGACGCGGGGCCGCTCAGCCGCGGAGCAATGAATGAGGCTGGCGGCCGGGGCCCGAAGCAGAACCGACGCGCTCGGCCATCTTGAGCCCGTCCCGGCAGCCCCCGCGGCACCCAGCGCGACCGACGACGCAGCGTCGGCGGGGGCGGGGCCACGCCGTAGCGGGCGCGATTGACAGCCCGAGGCTGCGGGCTCTGCCTATGGCCGGCCCAGGCGACGGCCAGTCCCGCCCCCTCGCCTCGCCCCCCGCGGCGGCGCAGGACGCAGTTCCTATCTGAGTCGGAGGCCACAAGGGGGCGGAGCTTGGGGCGAGGGGCGGGGCGACCCGGAGAGTGCCAGGGGCGGGGCGCCGGGGGCCGGCAGGGCCGGGGGCTGGCGGAGCCGGAGGCGGGGGTCTGGGGGCTGGGAAGGCGGGGGTCGCGGGGGCCGGGGACTGGGCAGGGCGGGGGCCGGCAGGGCGTGCAGCTGGAAGCTCTGCGGGCTGAGCCTGAGCTCCAACTCCACCCCACAACCCCTGTGAGGAACAGAGCAGTAAGACCCGGTGAGGCCAGCAAGAGGGGGTCGGAGCCAGTCTCCAATGACAGCGCCCTGCCCTGGTCACCAGGCACGGTCCCCCTCTCCAAGGGCACAAACGCTCACCACAGGTGTGGGTGCTCCCTTGTGCCAAGGAGTGACGGTGCAGGCTAGTCCAGCTCTCACGGCAGGGTGGAGGAGGGGAGGTATGCAAGGACAGATTGCGGGCTGCCAGCAAGGAGGGCTTCCCCCCAACCTGCCAAAGGTCGGGGCAGGCACAGCCACTTGGCGCCGCTGTCGGCTGTGCTTGCCCTGTGTTCTATGTCCTTTGGCTCCTTATGCACCCCAGTGACTGGCCTGATGCTGACTTATGGCAAGGCCCCATCCTGAGGATTAGGGCTCTGCAAGCACCGCACCGGCGTTCCCTGGTGCTCACCGGCGTCCCCTGGTGCTCAGTGGTGCTCAGTGGTGCTCCCCGGTGATCACCAGCGTTCCCTGGTGCTCCCTGGTGCTCAGTGGTGCTCCCCGGTGCTCAGTGGTGCTCCCTGGTGTTCCCTGGTGCTCCCTGGTGCTCACTGGCGTTCTCTGGTGCTCCCTGGTGTTCCCTGGTGCTCACTGGCGTTCCCTGGTGTTCCCTGGTGCTCCCTGGCACTCCATGGTGCTCCATGGTGCTCAGTGGTGTTCCCTGGTGCTCCCAGTGGTGCTCACTGGGATGGTGAGGAGCCCCTGAGGGGCAGGGGTCACCTGCTGCCTGGAATGCGGTGTGCTGGTGGGCAGGCAGGGAGCAGGAACTCTATGGCCTGGCCACTGCAGCTGCTGCCTGGAGGCCACCTGCCTGGGCAGGGCTCTGCATCTTTGCTGCCTCTGTCCCATGCTGTCACATTATTCCAGACGGTTCAGGGAGGCATGGCCCATCCCTGACCGACGGGGCCATTTAGGGAGTGAGCAGAAGACAAACCATCTCTCTGCACTCTGTGACTCTGCCTTTCAAATAAATACACCTTGAAACCTTACGCGTGGGCCTGCTCTGGACGAGCCCATTGTGCGGGTATGCACAGCCGGTGCGAAACTGGACTCTGCTGGGCCCCAGGGTCCACCTGCCACGTGCCACGTCCAGCTCCCTGGGAGGAAGCAGATGGTGGATTCAGCTGCCACCCGTGTGGGAACCCTGAAGAACATGCTTACAGCGCCTAAGTTGACAAGTCGTCATGTGTATTTTACCCCAGTTTATAAGGAAAAAATACCTCATTTCTGGTGAAGTCGTCGTGGGAGAGGAACTTGTTGTTCAAAAGGGCCACTTCTTCACAGAAATGCAAAACACACCTTCCAAAGCAATCAGCTTTCTTTTGCTCAGGGCATACTTGTATTTTATTATTTTATTTGAAACAAATACTTTTTACATTAAAATGGGGCCAGTGCAGTGACTTAGTGATGGTTACCATGGTTACAGGAAGTGGGTGGACACCACAGTGACCTCAGCCAGAGATCAGGCACGCCCCGAAGCAGCCAAGGCCACAAGTGATGGACAGCGGCCAACACTCCCTGTCCTCTCAGGACCCAAGTAGGGCTGACGCCAGCACCCTCGTCAGAGGGTATACAACCTTTGTCTCGGCCACCCAGCTTGTCTTTCCCACTTGCGGTCCTTTCCTCTCCTGCTCATTCCTCCACCGCACGGGAAAGGCCCAGGACGGCCTTCTCCTTGCATACTAAGGGCCTGTTTGTTCTCAGCTGGTATTTTCTTTCTCAGGTGGTGGTCAAAGCTAACAAGTTGGCTACTCCTCTGCCCGCAGCACCAGCATCCCATGTGGCTGCTGGTTCTAGTCCCAACTGCTCCACTTGCAGTCCAGTTCCCTGCTCACAAACCTAGCACATTTAGTCCTAGCCCTTGGGCCCCTGCACCCATGTGACCCAGAGCTCAGCTCCGGTGATTGGAGCCATTCGGTGAGTGAACCACCAGATGGGAGATCTGTCTCTCCATCTCTGTAAATCTGCCTTTCCAAAACAAAACAAAAAAACACCTCTGTACCACGATGCTAGTCCCAAATTGACTTTTTCCTTCAAAATATTTCTTCTGTGACACAGAGCTCCACTCATGGTTCTCTGCCATGATGCCCAAGCCAGCTACGAAGGTCTCAGTCTAAGAGGTCAGCAACTGGCGGGGGTTCAACGACTGGCGCTCACTGCTGCCCTGCAGCGCACACAGGTCGGACCAGGATGCCAACTCGTTACCCATGGGCAGGGTGTCCATGGCGCAGAATAACTGCACAGCTGCCACCTGCTGCAGTCTGTCTGCAAAATTCATCACAGTCCACAGGAGTGTCTGCGTCTCTCTCTCACACACACACACACACACACACACGGTCTCTGCGTCTCTCTCTCTCTCACACACACACAGAGTCTCTACGTCTCTCACACACACAGTCTCTGTGTCTCTCTCACACACACACACACAGTCTCTGCGTCTCTCACACACACACACACAGTCTCTGCGTCTCTCACACACACACACACAGTCTCTGCGTCTCTCACACACACAGTCTCTGTGTCTCTCACACACACACGGTCTCTACGTCTCTCACACACACAGTCTCTGTGTCTCTCTCTCACACACACACAGAGAGTCTCTGTGTCTCTCTCTCACACACACACACACAGTCTCTGCGTCTCTCACACACACACAGTCTCTGCGTCTCTCACACACACAGAGTCTCTGTGTCTCTCTCACACACACACATGGTCTCTGCGTCTCTCACACACACGGTCTCTGCGTCTCTCTCACACACACACGGTCTCTGCGTCTCTCTCACACACACACGGTCTCTGTGTCTCTCACACACACGGTCTCTGTGTCTCTCACACACACGGTCTCTGCGTCTCTCACACACACAGAGTCTCTGTCTCTCTCTCACACACACACATGGTCTCTGCGTCTCTCTCTCACATACACACACATGGTCTCTGCGTCTCTCTCTCTCACGCACACACAGGGCCAACAGGGAATCACGAGTCATGGAGGAGTCCTGCCATCCTCTCCTCCTTCCTGCCCGTCTGCAGCACTGACCACCAGGCGCAGCTGCCTGGGGCCATCTTAGTATTCTACATAGTGTTCCCCTCAGCTCACCACGTACTTTTTCTCAACTTCTCTCTCCTGTAAACAACACCAGGGAGGTGTACCAGGAGTCCGCGTGCTCACCACATCTCACGAATGATAACAAGGAAGGTGTTACCAATGTTTGAGGATTCGAGTAAATAATGACCCAGATGTGCAATAGAAAATCAGGCAGTCAGGGCCCAGTGCAGTAGCTTAGCAGCTAAAGTCCTCGCACACACTGGGATCCCATATGGGCACTGGTTCTAATCCTGGTGGCCCCACTTCCCACCCAGCTCCCTGCTTATGGCCTGGGAAGGAAGTCGAGGATGGCCCACAGCTTTGGGACCCTGCACCCGCGTGGGAGACCTGGAGGAGGCTCCGGGCTCCTGGCTTTGGATTGGCACAGCTCCAGCTGTTGTGGCCACTTGGGGAGTGAGTCAACGGACAGGGGATCTTCCTCTTTGTCTCTCCTCCTCTCTGTATATATGACTTTCCAATAAAAATAAAACAAACCGTTTAAAGAAAGAAAATTAAGCAGTCAGACATATTTATATGTAAGGGTAATAAGTAAATTACAAGTCATATGTAGAATAAAATGCTGATAGGTGTTAGCTTTGGACAATAGTGACTATTAAAGATGAAGTTCTTTGTGTGCTTGTCTTAATGTGTTTATTTGAAAGGCAGTGGTTTTATATGCGGCAGAGAGAGCTCTTCCATCTAACAGGTGATCGACGGCAGGAGCCGCCGTATGGGAGCCGCCCGGGCCCTGTGGCAGAGACATTCACTAGGAGTCCAGGTGTTTAACCAGTTTAACAGCCACTGCAGTCCTGGGGCGCCTGGCCCTGTGTCCCCACAGCGCAGGAACCGCAGCCATCCTCAGTCTGCAGATGGCAGTGAGGCTGAGGGTGCAGGTCACAGTGCAGAGCCAGCTCGGGGTCCCCTTCCGCAGACACTAAAGGGGCCTACCGCTTGTAGTGCTGCATCCTGCATCGGGGCACTGATTCTTGAACCTGCTGCCTGCTAAGACGTCTGGGAAACCACAGAGGACACAGCCCAAGTGCTTGGGCCCGTATCTCACACATAGGAGACCCAGGTGGCACTCCTGGCTCCTGGTTCAGCCTGCCCCAGCTCTGGCCATTGTGAGAAGTTGATGGAAGATCCCTGTGTCTCCCCCTTTCTTTCTGTCACTCTGCTTTTTAATAAAAATAACTCTTATAAAAGAAAGCAAGCCTTTGGTCCTCGTGGAGACCAAAGCCACAGATCTGTACAAAAGTTCCCAACCTCACAGGGACATACCTGGCCTAAGTGCCACCATGCCTCAGCAGTGGCCACACGAGGCACTGCAGGGCAAACGGTGCAACGGGACACACGGAGGACAGAGGGGCGGGATGCAGCTGCCCGGGGAGACCCTTGGGGTTCTGGGGACAGTGTCACCGCTCGCTTTAAAGTGTGGGGGTCTGTCTCCTGGCTGCCTACTGGGCAGGAGGCAAGCAAGTCCTTCCTACAGGATAAAGAGCCACCGTGGGAAGGGATGGACAGCCAAGGTAGCATCCAGGGCAGGTCCCCTCTGGCCTTGCCCGCAAGTGGGCCTTCACCTGCTCTGAAAGGCTTCATTGTCAAGGTGACTGTGTGCCTGGAAGTCGGACCCTGCAGACTCTCCTCTGTACCCAGCCATGAGGACATTCTGCTTTCTGAAACACCAAGAAGAACACAGTCCGTTGCTGGGAGTGCTGAAGATTCCCAAGACACAAGCTGCCTGTGAGGCATTCTGTCTGCCACTGCACAGCCACGATGAGGGCAGGGGCCTGTACACTGCTCATCTTCGCCACCTGCTTCCTGCTTCGTGTCACACAGGTGCCCACTGTCGCACAGATGCCCACAGTCACACAGGTGCCCACCGTCGCACAGATGCCCACTGTTACAGGTGCCCACCGTCACACAGATGCCCACAGTGTCACAGATGCCCACTGTCACACAGATGCCCACAGTGTCACAGATGCCCACAGTCACACAGATGCCCATAGATACCCAGTGTCACAGATGCCCACAGTGTCACAGATGCCCACTGTCGCACAGATGCCCACAGTGTCACAGATGCCCACTGTCACACAGATGCCCACAGTGTCACAGTTGCCCACAGTCACACAGGTGCCCACCGTCACAGATGCCCACTGTCACACAGATGCCCACAGTGTCACAGCTGCCCACTGTCACACAGATGCACATACTTACTATTAAAACCCCCCACTTATTTTGTTTGAGGTGCTTCTTGTTCATGGCCAGCAGTGGCCACCCAACTGAAGGACAAAGACATTTCACTTGCCTTGGAGTCTCGCTTGATTTCTTTGAACCCCAATGCTGGTCAGATGCCCACGTCCAGAGCCAGACATTCACACGAGTCAGAGAAAGCCCAGAGTCTGCTGAGGCCATCCCCTGGTCACAGCCTCCTTCAGCCCATGCAGCCCTGGGACCTCTGTCTCATCCCTTCCCTTGTGTCCTGCCCAGGGTCACCTCCTGGGTCTATGGAACCTCATCAGGAGGCTATAAGTGTCTCCTGCCAAGAACACCAGCCCTACCCAGGGTAGACACCCCAGCCTTCTCCCTCACTCACAGTCACCAGAGAGAGACGTCACCCTCAGTGCTGAATCTTGCAGGAAGCTCTGGGCATTAAAGCGGCAAAGACTGACTGCCAGGGCCGTGCTGTTGGCCCTGTTGTTATGGGCACCTCGGCTCCTGGTGGAGACTGCCTGCCAGCCAGTGAGACGCATGGTGCTCACAGCCTCAGGGATGGCATGCCCGAGTCGGTGCCAACCCGAGGACTTGAGCACAGTCCTGGGTGAGGAGCAGGCCCTGTTTCCAGGCACAGCCTGCTCCCTTCCCCAGGGGCACGGGTCAGCTGTGCCGTTGTGCAGTTCTCTTCCACGCAGCTTGTCTTAAGACGATGCAGGCAGCAACATCAAACACTCCGTCACTCCCTAAGGTGTGTTTTGGCTGTGCCACACATGTTTATTACAGTTCAGGACAGGGTGGGTGCTGGGCAAACGCTCCTCGTGTCCTCACGCCGCCAGCGGTCAGAGGTGTGACGACTCCCCTTCCTTCTTGCTGGCGAGGCAGCCCTGCAACACAGCGCAGCGCTGGCCTGAGGCACACTGCAAATGCAAGGGAGCTTGAGTGTGCTCAGATGTACCACGGGCCGCGTGTCTGTGGGGCGTGGCCCACAGACTGCCAGAGAGTGACAACATGGAGGCTAAAGTACCAGGTGATACCCCACACACGTCCTCACCAGGGTCCTGAGGCTCCCGACCATCGTGGGGACAGGCAGAAGCATGTGGGAGGGGCCGGCCGCCACGGCCTGCTGACCCGGGAGTCCTAGAGGCACCTGGCACTTGCAGAACTTGGGGCAGGAGTAGGAACTGCCAAGTATGCTGGTTGCAGCACACTCTGCCCCAGTCGCACAGGGCATGGCAAGTGCAGACGGCTCCTCGTACGGAGTGTGGGGCGCAGAGCGCCGCCTGGGCAGCTGCAGGCACTCCCAGCAGGACCCACATTCACCAGAGATAGGGACAGGGGCTAGAGTCATAGCAAGGCCATTTCGGGGCTTTCTACCACCCACAGATCGGTATACAAACTGAAAAAATGTTGGAGGCCCATTCTAGTCCTGGCTGCTCCGTATCTGACACAGCTCCCTGCCTGTGGCCTGGGAAAACAGTGGAGGACGGCCCAGAGCCTTGGTACCCTGCACCTGCGTGGGAGGCCTGGATGGAGCTCCTGGCTCCTGGCTTCGGATTGGCACAGCTTGGGCAGCTATCACCATCGAAGGAGTGACTCACTGGAGGGAGAATCTCACCTTCATCTCCTCCCCTATGTAAACCTGATTTTCCAATAAAAATAAATAAATCCTGTGCTTGCTTCAGCAGTGCATATACTAACAATTATTGTTAGAAAGTCAGATTCACAGAGAGAGAGAGATGCTCGATCCTCTGCTTCACAACAGCCAGAGCTGAGCCAATCTGAAGCCAGGAGCCAGGAGCTCTTCCAGATCTCCCGTGTGGGTGCAGAGTCCCAAGATTTTGGGCCGTCCTCCACTGCTTTCCCAGGCCACAGACAGGGAGCTGGGTGGGAAGTGGAGCAGCCAAGATATGAACTGGTGCCCATGGGATCCCAGTGTGTGCAAGGCGAGGACTTGAGCTACTAAGCTACCAAGCTGGGCCCTGAATCTTTCTATTAAAAATGGATTAGGACCTCAGTGTGAACTCCTAGACAAGAGACAAAGCAGATAATCCATTACTCCAAGGAGAAAGACACAAACTTTCTCCAAATCTAATACTGGGATAGCAGGTCACTTTTGAAAAGAGTCATCTTTCTGTGTGAAAGGCGAACCCGAGGCGACAGCGTGAGAACCAGGCCTGGAAGACGCCATCATGTAAGCTGCTTCGTGACCATTCTATGCGAGACCACACTCAGGTGCCACTCAGCGGCCCGTGGGAGCCAGGGTGCCCAGCGGGGCCCGGGGCAGGTGGACTCCAAGGACAGACAGCACTGGTGTTGTCCTGGAGCACTGCAAACAGGAAACAAAGTTACTGTCACCGCGACGAGCCACTTCTCTTAGAGAAGGTCCTTACCCCTCTTCTGAAGAGCCTGTAGAAGAAGCTCCTCTTGGGCTTGTGAACGGGAGCCTGCGCTTTCTCCTCCGCATCCAGGCGCTCCTCGCTCTCGCTTTCATTGATGTCCTTGAAACACCCAGACTCAATCATCTGCACAAAGAGGCCCCCGGGAGACGGGCCGTGAGCAGCCCCCGCCCCTGCGGGAAGCCCTCGGTGAGAGCCCCAGCCACCCGGTTTGCAGACCTAGTCCTGCCCCACCGGCTGTGGGGGTGCAGTACCTCGTTCTGCCAGGGGATGGGGGCACAGCCCGTCACAAACTCAGCGTAGAAGTTGCTGTCTGTGGTGTCTAGGTACACTCCTTTGACCACGGAGAAGCGCCCGATATCCAGCACGTCCTTGCAGTACACCGAGTGAGGCTGCGCCGAGAACAACGGGGCGGCTGAGCCGGGGAGCAGGACGCTCAGGGTGGGGCCTCAGCGTCCCAAGCTGTTGTCACCTCTCTTTCTCTGCAGTGGCGGTCCCCAAGCCCTTCCTCTCTAGGAGGCTGTCAGAGAACCTCCTGCCCATCTGCCCAGCTCACTCGAGCCCCACTCTCCAACGCGAACCTCCCACAGGCCCCTCACGCAGCCTTGTTCACAGCGGGAAACGCTTTGCAAGCAAAGGCCAGGGCCAGAGAGCACGGGCCAGGAAGCCACCAGAGAGGGCCCTCACCGCTGCCCGCAGGCAGCCCTGCTGACCTGCAGAAACAGCAGCCGGCTACTGCCCACTCTCCCTGCCTGAGCTCTCCAAAGCTCCAGGGCTCGGCAGTCACTGCCTGGGCACTGCAGGTGCTGTACTGGCACACAGGAGTGCTGTAAGAAAGACTGTGATGCCAGCAGGAGGCTCCCCCGGCACCGCCCAGCACCACTGTTCTTGGTCTCCTCACCTGACATATGGCGGCAGGCTGGGAGCTCGGTGCTGACCCTGCCCTCAGGGCACCGCTCAGAGGCGGCCCACCCCTACACTGGCCCCATGGCAAGGGAACTCTGCCTGGTGTGTGTCGTAATGCCTGCTGGGCACCAGCTGCCCACAGGAGGACTCACCCACTGCACTGGCTGTGCCCCAGCCTGCCTGCTCCCCCTGCCCACCCAGGACTGTGCAATATCCTCCCCAGACACCGCAGAGCTGAGGCCCTTGTCACTCAGCCAGGCTGCCGGGCGCCATCCTGTCACCGTCACTGGATGACTGCATGTGCTGGGACAGGCTCCCTGGGGCCTAAACACCTAACGTTGCAGTAGGCGGCCAGCAGGCAGTGCTGCTGCAGGTGACGTGGGGGTGAAAGCATCATGACCACTGTCCCTTTCCACGTCGCGTCTCCAGCTATGGCTTCCATGTTCAGGAGGATGTCCGCCAGGCGCTGTCAGGCACTGGCTGCTCCTAACAGCTCGCAGGGCCACTCGGATGCCCTCTGGCCCAGGTCCTCATGGAATGTGGGGTGGGGACAAGCATTCTAGACCGAAGACGCAGGCAGGGCCAGAGCTGGGGCAGAGCAGCTCCCCTGCGAGTCGTCATCCCTCAAGTGCCAGTGGAGTCCTGGCTGCTCCACTTCCCACCCAGCTCCTGCTGCTGCACCCAGGGAGCCTGGGCCCCTGCCTCCCACAGGGACAGGATCCTGGCTTCAGCCTGGCTCAGCCCTAGCCATCACGGCTGTTTGGAGAGCAAGCCAGCAGACAGAAAATCTCTCTCTCTCTCTGCAAATTTTTCAAATAAATAAATATTTCAATAAGCCAAGCATCAGGCATGTGCCCTGGTGTGAGAGGCTGAGTACAAGACGAGTGCTGAGAGCAGAGCAGGTGTGGGTGACGGTGGGCCCTGGCTGCTGCGTGAGGCTGGGGGCCCAGCTCCTCATGCAGAGTGCCGGAGGGGCCCGGGGAAGGACTGCAATGGCTGTGGCTACTAGGGGTGACCCCAAGGAAGAAGTCCCAGGTGGCCCTGGATCTGCTTTGACCAGCACACTGGGACTGGTGTTCTTGGGATCCCGTTCCACTTACATCAGGGCAGAAGGGGGCAGCTAACAGGTGCACCTCCAGCCTGCTGAAGTTGATGTCCTTAAATACGGGGTGCTGCTTCACCCCCGCAGCTCCTTCGCCCCTACAGCCCAGCCGTTCCTGGGGGTTCTTGGTGAGTAACTGTAGGAGGCAGAGACAGAGTCAGTTCATGCCCTCTCCTAACAGTGACACCTCCAAGGTCCTTCCAGAAGGACAGACTGATGATCGGGGTGGCAGAGAGCAGGGCCGCCAGACAAGCACGCTGCTCAGCCAGCCGCAGGACCTCACTCGTGACCTGCTGGAGCGTGGAGCCCTCCCACACAGCAGGCGGCCGGTGGCCTGTGCTGCCGGTGACAGACACATCAGACACTTCACTCCTTGAGTGAAACATTCAACCCAGCAAAGCTCAGGGCATTCACATGGAAACAGAGACAGCTTGTTCAACGCTAGGCTGCAGCCCCAGCCCTTGAGAACATGGCAGCTAGTAGATCAGGTGAGGCAAAAGCCACCTTCGTGCCACCTTCATGCCATCTTCCTGCTCACCTGTAAGGAGAAGCAGGTCTGCACTTTAGGTTTTAATTAGCAAATTTATTTGAGACTCACTTGATGAGACACAGAGGTGTAGCCCACCTGCTGGCTCATTCCCCAAAGCTAGGCCCTCAGGCCAGCTCTGCCCCAGGGCACCGAGACCCAATGACATCCCCGGGAGTGAGCAGATGCAGGCACTGGTGTGGGGTGTGGGGTGAGCCCCTAAACCGACCACCTGCTTCTCAGAAAGTGTTATTCTTCGTTCAGTATTTCTTCCACAAGCACAGCTGACAGGTACGCTCACTATGTCATAGGTAAAGCGGCCTTCATGGGCACTGGGCTGTGCTGCAGAACCACATACCAAGCACCCCGGCACAGCCCCGGATGGCCTGGCACCAGGGTACAGCTGCTGCCTCAGCATGGCAGCAGGCTGACAAACTGGCATGGAGAAGACCTCCAAGCCCCCCCACCCAAAACGGGCACAGCCCACACCAGGGCATCAGCTTGGGGTCCCTGCTCCGGAAACGGCCACACCCCACACCAAGGCATCAGTTTGGGGCCCCAGCTACCCTCCATTCTGGTTGCCTGCTGGTGGGCACCTGGGAGGCAGCAGCTGCCAGCCTAAGTATTTCTGTCCCTACCATCCACCTGGGAAACCCAAACTGAGTTCCAGGCTCCTGGCTTCGGCCTGGCGATTAAGGAATTTTAGGAACTGAACCAGCAGATGGAAGATTTTTATTCTGGCTCTATCATTCAAATAAACAAAAATAAAGAAATACAAACTGGCCCAACCATGTCAGCACCCAGATTCCAGTTGGTGCCCTCTCCTAAACTGAGGTAGAACCCCGTGCGTGGGGTCTAAGGGGCCTTAAGCCTAAGGGGCGAGAACTGGGGGTATGTCCAGGAAGGGGTGGGGCTAGGGCCAGGGAGACGCCACCCAGGGATCCCAGGGCCCCTAGCTAAGTCCCACGCCTGGATCGCACAAGGCGGATGCAGCACGCAAGTGGTGAGCTGCCACCCGGCTGGCCAGTGCGCCATTTGGCTCTAGGCTCTGCTGCTGGCCGCCTGGCCAGGGAGCTCTGGGGATCTGGTTCTTAGGTATCTCCATTTCGAACCCTCAGTGCTTTGTGAACGTGAATCAATCCTAACGATCCCCAATGACAGTTAATCTTCCTCAGATGAACCTGTAATTAACACTGTTTCTAACCATGTGCTGAGAAAAACTGCAATACCTAACATACTGTCAAAACCTTGTGCTACTCAGAAATGGAGCGGGAGAGCAGGGAAGTCTTCCACTCCCCTCGAAGGAGTGAGGAAGACTTGGAGTGTAACCTATCAGGAGCATAGCAGGTAACCTACTGACAATAGATTCAAAACAGAATTAGACAATAGTAAAAACACAAAGACATACAGGGGGAGTCAAGGGAGATCCCAGCAACCTATTCACAAGTGGTCACATGCACAGAGCAGGGGAGGCACCCAGAGTGGAGCAGGAGGAGGCTCGTGTCCCAACCCTGGAGACTCCCGGATCCCCACCAAGGACTGACAATACGGGCACCAAGGACTGCATCCCAACTGCCAAAGAGACCACGGGGAACTGGAATGCCTTCAGAGGCCGAGAACTCAGAGGACATCCCACCCCCGCTCTGGACCTACCACACGGGAAGGAAGAAGCCGGAGCCCTTCATCGTGGGACCAAGGGCCATCGGAACAACAGAGAGGAACCCTGAGTGGCCCTCAGAACCAGAAGAACAGTAAACCTCCTTCGGAATTGGGGAGAGGAGCTTTCTCTGGCCCTTGCTTGGTTCCAGCTTTGGGTCCTCACCCTCTCTGCAATGACCATTGGGGTTGCTCCAGAGCCCCCCTCCAAACACACACACACGTTAGAATAGATAGGCAGAGAACAAAAAGGCAAGCCTGATGAGCATAAACTCATACACACCTCGCTAGGGAGGACGCGAAGATTAAGCACTCCTCAGCAAGGTATTGAGAACTCCTCTGCACACCCCTCCTAAACTGTTTTGCACCTCAATTGTTGAAATGTCATGGAAGTAGTCACAGGATGCAGTTAAGAACTTGCTTACTCGATACTATGTCAATTAGTTCCACAAAATTGTATATTGTTGCTGATGTTATGTTTGGGCTTGTAACTGACCGGGATTTTACTTTGTGGGCTCTAACTTTGGACCAGAGAGGGTCTCCCCAAGAAGCTGTTGAACTTATCCGGACAATGAGATGCTGGACTCTATGCTAGGCATAGGCTCACAGGGAAGGAATCTCAACTGAACTTGAACTGTGGATACACAACAAGGTGGAGGAATCCACCATGGCGGGAGGATTGGGGAAGGAGAGGAAGGAATTCCAGTACCTAAAAAGCTGTATCATTGGGCCCGGCGCCGTGGCCTAGCGGCTAAAGTCCTCGCCTTGAACACATAGGGATCCCATATGGGCGCCGGTTCTAATCCTGACTGCTCCACTTCCCATCCAGCTCCCTGCTTCTGGCCTGGGAAGGCAGTCAAGGACGGCCCAAGGCCTTGGGACCCTGCACCCATGTGGGAGACCCGGAAGAGGCTCCTGGATCCTGGCTTTGGATCGGCATGGCATTGGCTGTTGTGCTCACTTGGGGAGTGAGTCATCGGACGGAAGATCTTCCTCTCTGTCTCTCCTCCTCTCTGTATATCTGCCTTTCCAATAAATAAATAAATCTTAAAAAAAAAAAAAGCTGTATCACATAATGCAACGTAATAAATTGGAAAAAAAAAAACAAAAGGAAAAAAAAAAGAACCCTGTGCGTAACTGGCCGGAAGGAGAAGGGCTCCCTGAGAGCTCAGGCCTCCTCTGCACTGGCCTGGCACTGGCCTGGCACTGGCCTGGCTGAAGGCAGGCCTCGCTTGGCACTGCCCATAGGACTCCTGGGGCAGCTGAGCTCCCCTCCGCAGCGCCCAACCCACCATCTGGCAGATGGACTTGGCATCCTCTGAGAACCTGTCGGAGTACTGCTCCGCGTCCTTCTTCACTCGCCGATCAATCTCCTCCCTTTTGACCTTCTCCTTGAACTTCCGGAACGGAGAATGTCCCTGAATCATTTCATAGATGAGACAGCCCAGCCCCCACCAGTCGGGGCTGAAGGTATACTGCTCGTTATCGAGGACCTCAGGAGCTGCAAGACAAATGCAGGGCCTTCAGTCAAACCCTGGCCGTAAGCCTGCTCATAAGTAACTCCAAATAATACACTGGAGACTTAATGTTTGGCAAAAAATACGTGAAATTTAAACTTACAAAGGGGCACAATAGTCTAGTGAGTCTCCCATTCGCCCGGGATCCCATATGAGCACCGGTTCTAATCCCGGCAGCCCCACTTCCCATCCAGCTTCCTGCCTGTGGCCTGGGAAAGCAGTGGAGGATGGCCCAGAGCCTTGGGACCCTGCACCCACATGGGAGGCCCAGAAAAAGCTCCTGGCTCCTGGCTTCAGATCAGCTCAGCTCCGGCTGTCACAGTCACTTAAATGAAGCAGTAGAAAAAAGATCTTCCTCTGTCTCTCCTCTCTGTAAATCTGCCTTTCCAGCAAAAATAAAAGTCTTCTAAAAAAGAGAAAGTTACAAAAGCCAAATATCATAAGACTTATTTATACAAAATGGAGCAGACAAATCCACAGAGAAAGAACACAAAGCTGGCAGCTGCTAGGGTTTGGGGTTCACAGTGAGGAGTGGGGGACGGGTTACTTTTCTGAAGTTTAATTTTGTGAATCAGTGCTGATGGTCGCACGACACTGTGAGCACACTAAGGCCTGCTGAACGAGACACCTCTAAGTGCGCAGTTTACTCCGTGGGGCATTGCAAAGGCTGCTGCTCGAGTGTCTGATTGCATCTGCCCGCTATGAAACACACTGCTGGTGCTGGAGAACCTGCCCCACTGGCCGAGTGCGCCGTGCTGCCCCCGGTCCAAGACCCCAGAGCCCATGGTGTCAGAGACAGCAGGACGCAGGGCCACGCTCTGGGTTTCTCAGAGGCCACCTGCGGGGTCAGGCTGGCCATGCCCAAAGGCACAGGAGCTCCTCCCAGGGCTCCATGAGACCCCGGGTGCCGGGCAGGATGAAGAGACCCTTGGCCCTGTTCTGTGCTACACAGCCTCAAGCCCCAGAGCCCTCTGCGGGTCTCCTTCCCCGGCTGTGCCTGACCCCATGGCCGACACCACCTGGTCACACAGTGCACTCACAGGGTCACTGGGAGCTGGCGGTCTCGTCCACCACTGCTCTATCTGCCCAGACAGGGACACCCGACACGAGGGGGTCCTCTACATACCCATGTAGCCAACTGTGCCGACCCTTCCTCGCACCGTCTCCCCTTCAGGGACCTCCAGGGCCAGGCCAAGGTCTGAAATGCGTATGTGGCCTGTGTAGGAGTACATATGTTAGAGATCACAGGATGCCTGGGGCTCCAGCAACAGCACAAACAGGGTACAGGCAGCACCTAGAAACGGCACTGCTCGCCCAGGGCACGTCCAGCCCTGGGAATACCCTCCACGCCCCCCATGCAGCGATGCTGCCCGCAGGAGGCGCAGGCAGACCCAGGCCGGGCACGAGTTAGACTGACGTCTCCACATTAGTCCATCCCTCAGTGGCTTGCTCAGAAAGGAACATGTAAATTACCCCTCTGCTTCTCACACCACTATAGGCATCGCATTAAACACCCAATGACTGCATCACAGGGCCTGCCTAGGCCTCTGCCTGCAAGTGCTGGGATCCTATGGTCGCTAGTTCGTGTCCCAGCTGCTCCATTTCCCATCCAGCTCCCTGCCTGTGGCCTGGGAAAGCAATCGAGGACGGCCCAAAGCCTTGGGACCCTGCACCTGTGTGGGAGACCTGGAGGAAGCTCCTGGCTCCTGGCTTTGGATCGACTCAGCTCTGACTGTTGTGGCCACTTGGGGAGTGAACCCACAGATGGAAAATCTTCCTCCCTGTCTCTCCTTCACGCTGTAATTTGTCTTTCTGATAAAAATAAATAAATATTTTAAAAGAATTTTGCATCAATTACAAAATAGTAAACAGATACTTTCTGCCACAATAGCACCAGGCCTATTTACAGAGTTAACTGTTTATACAGAACGTCTGGACAGCAGTGCTAAGGGTCAGCGACATGACAAGCAAGCCAACACCCTTCACTGCGAGAATGGCATCAGGGTGAGGCCTGCATCTAGGAGGGTTGGCACTTGTTGGATTTCCATGAAAAATAACAGAAGATACAAAACTTTCTTAGGGTGCCTGTCACACTGCATACAATGGATTAGGACCATCTAATTAGGGTTTAACCTCCCCTTAATCACTTCTACAATGGCTCTGTCTCCACCTGCTGTCATTTTCTGAGGTCCCGGGAGTTAGGGCTTTATGAAAGTTGTCCGAATCAAAATGAGTTCCTTGAGGCAACAGGCTAAGCCACCACTTGCCACACTGGAATCTGACAGGAGTGCTGATTCAACTCCTGTCTGCTGCACATCAAAACCAGCTCCCTGTGCCACGCCTGCAAATGGACAGCAGATGGCACAAATGCTTGGGCCTCTGTCCTTCTTATGGGAGACCCGGGTGGAGTTCCTGGCTCCCAGCTCTACACAGGCCCAGCCTGGCCACTGCGGCCATCTGGGGAGTAAACCAGCAAACACAAGATCAACTGCTCTCTCCCTTTGGGCCTTTGTGTAGTTCTGCCTTTCAAGTGCATCAATCAACAAACAGATAAAACACAGCCAACAGGCAGCAATGGCCTGTTTTCCTCCAAGATGACAAGCAGCCAGCTGACCCTACAACCATCCTGGTGTGCGACTGGGGCCGGGGTGCAGGGAGAGGTTTTGTTAAAGTAAGGAGGCAGAGATGAGAATGTGAGAAAGAGCAGTCAGCTCAAATCCGGGGGAAAGTTCTAGAGAGGAGGAAGCTGTACAGAGGAAAAAATCTACAGCTAATGAGGCACCCCTATTTGGTAAGGTCTGCTCGCCGCCCTGAGCAGGACTGTCCCAAGGACATCTGGTGGAGTGCCCCAACCCAAGGTGGCAAAGTGCCCCCTGACTCCCTTACAATTACAGACCCTCTGCTGCTGTGTCCCCATCAGCCGCCTGCACCCAAGAGGGCTCCCCTGTTGCCCCAGCCTCTATCAGCCGCCTGTACCCCAGAGGGCTCCCCTGCTGCCCCATCCCCATCAGCTGCCTGTACCCTGCCTGTGATTTGCTGTGGGCCAAGAAGACAGCACACTGGGCAGTGGGCCAAGGCTCAGGGGCCTGAGCACACAAATGTAGGAAGAAAGCAAGAGACTGGGAAGAGAGAACACATAAATTTTATTTTTATATGCTATTACAATTCAAATATTAGCTGAAAAATATGGCCATCTTTGAGCAATGGTATCGCTATCCATCCATCCACTGGTGTGTCTAGGTACCTATCTCCCACACATTTATCTATCAGTTTGCCCACTCGTCCATCCATCCACCCACCTATCCATCCACCCACCCAACCGTCCATCCATCTATACATCTATCCATCCATCCATCCATCCACCCATCCATCCATCCATCCATCCTCTCATCCACCCACACACCCGCCCATCCATCCACCCACCAACCCACCCATCCGTCCATCCATCCATCTATCCATCCATCCACCCTTCCATCCATCCACCCATCCACCTATCTATCCATCCATCCATCCATCCATCCACCCATCCATCCATCCATCTATCCATCCATCCACCCACCCACCCATACATCCATCCGTCCACCCATCCATCCATCCACCCACCCATCCATCCATCCATTCATACATTTATCCATCCATCCACCTACCCATCCATCCATGCACCCACCTATCCATCCATCCATCCACCCACCCACCCACCCACCTATCCATCTATCCATCCATCCGTCCACCCATCCACCCACCCACCTATCCATCCATCCACCCATCCATCCGTCCATCCATCCATCCATCCATCCAACCATCCATCCATCCATCTATCCATCCATCCACCCATCCATCTATCCATACATCCATCCACCCACCTATCCGTCCATCCATCCATTCATATATCTATCCATTCATCCATCCACCCACCTATCCATCCATCCACCCACCCATCTGTCCATCTATCCATCCATCCATCCACCCATCCATCCATCCATCCATCTATCCATCCACCCTTCCATCCATTCACCCATCCACCTATCCATCCATCCATCTATCCATCCACCCATCCATCCAGTCACACATCCATCCACCCACCCATCCATCCATCCGTCCACCCATCCATCCAACCATCCATCTATCCATCCATCCACCCATCCACCCACCCACCCATCCATCCATCCATTCATACATCTATCCATCCATCCACCCATCCATCTATCCATACATCCATCCACCCACCTATCCATCCATTCACGTATTTATATATGCAGGCACCCATGCATTCACCTATCTATATTGGTCAGTTCTATCTATGTATTTGTCAGTCCAAGCCTCTCCATCCATGTTCCTGTGTAGCTATCTACTCATGTGTACATGTGTGTTTCTAGCTGTCCAGCTCTTCGAGATTCTGTGTACATAGACACCCATGCATCTTTGTAACTACTACCTATCTCCATATGCATCCAAAGGACATACCCCAGGGGCTGCATAATGGCTCAACTGGCTAATCCTCCACCTGGAAGTACCAGTATCCATATGGGCACTGGTTTGAGTCCAGCTCTTCCACTTCCAATCTAGCTCCCTGCTTGTGACTTAGGAAAGCAGCGAGAGATGACTCAAAGCCTTGGGACGCTGTATCCACACTGGAGACCCAAAAGAGATTCCAAGTTTCAAATTGACTCAGTTTTGGCCATCACGGCCATTTGGAGAGTAAACCAACAGATGGAAAATCTGTCTTTGTTTATCTCTGTAAATCTGCCTTTCAAATAAATGAATCATACACACACTCCGAAGCGTTGTCCTTTGCTATTTCCATTCTGTAATAACGGGCTGATTGGCCTTACCTCCCGCGCCCAGGTCCCTCTGACAGTGTGTGCTCACTCACCATGGTCATCGAGGAGAATGTTCTCGGGCTTTAAATCTCTACAAGGGAAAAAAACAACAAGGTCCTCAGTTACCTGCAAGTCAGCACTGTGACTCCCGAGTGCGACAGCCAGAGCTGCAGGTGTGGGAAGGCCCACGAGGGCAGAAGACGCCCTCGGCAAGCCAGGCATGTCATCACAGGACAAATGTTCCACAAAACTCATATCAGGGCCTGGCGTAACAGCCTAGTGGCTAAAGTTCTTGCCTTGCATGTGCTGGGATGCCACGTGGGTGCTGGTTCATGTCCCGGCTGCTCCACTTCCCATCCAGCTCCCTGCTCGTGGCCTGGGAAAGCAGTGGAGAACAGCCCAAAGCCTTGGGACCCTGCACCTGTGTGGGAGACCCAGAAGAGGCTCCTGGATCCTGGCTGTAGATTGGCTCAGCTCCAGCCATTGCGGCCACTTGGGGAGTGAACCAGTAGATGGAGGATTTTTCTGTCTCTCCGTCAATCTGTAAATCTCTTTCCAATAAAAATAAATCTTTAAACAAAGCAAAACAAATCCCATATTGCCGCTCGTACCTGAAGGCAGTGGGACACGAATGCTCTGCGTGGTTACGTCAACGTGAGGGAAACCATCTTTCAGAACTGAGCTTTGGGCAGGCACTGCGGCACAGTGGGCTCAGCCACCCCTTGTGACACCCCCATCCCTCACAGCAGCACCAGTTCCAGTCCCAGCTGCTCCACTTCACACAATCTCCTACTAAGGCACCTGGGAAGTGGGAGCTGATGGCCCGTGGAACTGTTCCCCTTCCACCCGTGTGGGCGTCTCCATCAAGTTTCTATCGCCTGGCTTTGGCCTGGGTCAACTCTGCATGTTTCAGCCATTTGTGGAATGAGCCAGGGCGTGGAAGATCTGTTCATTAGCCTTTGAAATAAACCATTTAAAAAACAAAACAAAACAGAACTCGGATCAGGAGTAGATATTGTAACTCAGCAGGTTAAGCTCCTGCTTTGGATGCCCACATCCCATGTTTTGCTGGTTTGAGTCCCAGCTCCTCTGCTTCTGATCCAGTTTCCTAGTGATGCCCCTGGCAGATGGCTCCTGCTAATGCCCCAAGCATTTGGGGCCCTGCTTTCCACATGGAAGGGCCAGATGGAGTTCCAGGCACCTAGCCTTGGCTGCTGTGGCCAATGAGAGAGTGAATCAGCAGATGAAAGATTTCTCTCTGTTGGTCTGCCTATTGAGTAGATGAAAATAAAAACATTTTTAAAAAGATGAATAACACTTGTTTCAAACAACAAAAAAGCTCAATTTCTCTTTAGAAATTTCAGGGCCCAGCATGGTAGCCTAATCTAAATCCTTGCCTTGCACACTCTGGGATCCCATATGGGCACCAGCTCTAATCCCGGCTGTCCCGCTTCCCATCCAGCTCTCTACCTGTAGCCTGGACAAGCAGTCAAGGACGGCCCAAGGCCTTGGGACCCTGCACCTGTGCGGGAGACCTGGAGGAAGCTCCTGGCCCCTGGCTTCAGGTCAGCGCAGCTCCTGCCACTGCGGCCATTTGGAAGTGAGACACATGATGGAAGATTTTCCTCTCTGTTTTTCCTCTCCTCTGTATATCTGACTTTCAAATAAAAATAAAACAAATTTTTGAAAATTTTTCAACAAGTGAATGTTTCCCATGCTCCAAGACCTCAGTTTGGAGATCACATAAAGATTTAAATCATGGGTCTGACACTTTGTGGTCAAAGCCTTTCCAAAATAGAAAAAAAAAAAAAAACCCACAAACAAAATGGCCTGTGGCCAGTGGCTCTGACACGCCTGTAGCTCTGTCAGCATCTGCTTGCCAGCACAGAGCCATGGCATTAGCTGGGGACAGACAGCACGTGGTTCAGTGTGTGCGGGCAGAGGGAACGACAGGTGTGTCAGGAGAAAGGATGCACTGAGGAGTAACTGCGCATGCGTGGCCCTGCGTCATTCCTGTGTTCCCCATGCAGCATTACAACCTGCGAGCATATACATGCAGTCACCTGGAAACCTACCAAGAAAACGCCCTCCAGTGTGTGACCTCAGCCCTTCTGTGTGCAGGCCTGTTGAAGGCCTCCCTGCCTCCTCTGGGTCATGGACCCCACTACATCTTCCAGGGACTTGTGACCCCTGAGGGCCCTGGGGAAGAGTGAGCTCCCTTAGCATCTGGTGGACCGGGGTGCTGCTCTATGGGGGATGACGCTCAGCCCTCATCCTGGGACTCCGACCCTGCGGGCACAACAAAGCTCATGGGCACAGGAGCCAGTCTGAGGAGCAGCAGCCATGGGAACAGGTGGGTATCCACGTCCACCTGTTCTGACAGCCACGTTCTTAGCGGCACCTCCCAGACTTACCAGTCAACTGCTGAAACCACAGGCACTGGGAGGATGGCAGGGGACGCGGTGTGAGGGTACGTGAGGGTGACTGAGTGAAGGGAGGGGGCGCGGTGTGACGGTACGTGAGGCTGACTGAGTGGAGGGAGGCTCTGACACACCCAGAGGGCCGACGTCAGTGTGGGTCCTGTACCACGGTCCCAAGGGGTCTCACACAGCTGTGGCCATGTCCGCCAGGCCTTGCCAGGGGTCTCATGGCTGTGGCCATGCCCACCCCAACAGCACTTGAAGTCTCCATGAGGGAGACGAAGCAGTGTCATGTCCCCTCCATCATCCCCACCTCTCCCCGTCCCCTCCTGGCTCATGACTGTTCTCTTCTAGGAGAATGGGTGGCAAGCAAAGCAAAAGTTCTTCCCTAGAATGTTGGGTAAACATTTCAAAAAGAGACATTTAGGACACTACAGTACTAAGCTGGCGCCCAAAAACTCAGGATGTGTAATGAAATAGATTGGCCTCCTTTTGGTGGGCTGGCCATGGAGGGTCCCTAGATGAGGTGGCAGTCAGAAAAACACACCAGGTCATCGTTGGAAAACCAGCCTGGAAACCTGGAATTCAGCCTGGGCTCCCAACCCGAGTGCCGGGACCGCGGCCTGCAGCCATCACCTGCTGCCTGCCAGGGTGTGCTTCCGTAGGAAACCGACGTGAGCCCAGGCCAGCGTCCTCAACACTCCACCACACTCCACCAGGCCCGCACAGTCCCTGCCTGTCATTTAAAACTGACCCAAGATCTCAAGATTTTTAAGGAAAACTCCTGGCTTGAATGTCACAGGAAACCACCAAAAGTCCAAAGCTGTGGGGAACCAGGGAAGCCACCATCTGCAGAGCTGGCACCTCATGTGGGCACTGGCCACTACCTGTAGAGTTGGCACCTCATGTGGGCACAGACCACTACCCATAGAGCTGGCACCTCATGTGGGCACTGGCCACCACCCGTAGATTTGGCACCTCATGTGGCCATTGGCCATGCCTGTAGAGCTGGCACCTCATGTGGGCACTGGCCACTACCTGTAGAGTTGGCACCTCATGTGGCACCTCATGTGGCCATTGGCCACACCTGTAGGGTTGGCACCTCATGTGGCACAGACCATGGCCCATAGAGCTGGCACCTCATGTGGGCACTGGCCACCGCCCATAGAGCTGGCACCTCATGTAGGCACTGGCCACCCCTGTAGAGCTGGCACCTCATGTGAGCACTGGCTGGAGGCCTAGCTCTCCCTCTTCTCATCCGAGTTCCTGCTAAGGCACCCGGGAAAGCGGCAGAGTGTGGGCATCAGAAAAAGCTCCCAGATAAAAGCAGTAAGTCATTTTTTTCTTTTAAAGTCACTTTCAGGACAAGTGAAATATCTTTCATCATTTAACAAATTTATATATAATTTTTCTGGATTTCACAGTAAATTTTTTTTTAAAGATCTATTCACTTGCAAGTCAGAGTTAAAGAGAGAGGGAAAAAAGACAAAGAGTGTGAATCCCGTGACAAAATGGAGCCACTTCAGTTCAGGTTTGCATAAGTTTGCCAGCCTACTTTTGTACCAGATGCTTTGCCAGCTTCCTGCTTTTGGGGCCAGAACACTGGGCTAACGCCCGGCCAGCAGCCCTGGGGTCCAGGAATGAGTGCTGTGTGATTTATCCACCCATTGTTCCCATGGCAACCTCCTGTGGCTGCCCAGCTCACCTGGCTCCCAAGGGCTGTGTAACCTCACTGTGCGCTCGCCTGACCCTGACCTCAGGGCTGTGTAACCTCACTGTGTGCTCACCTGACCCTCACCTCAGGGCTGTGTAACCTCACTGTGTGCCCGCCTGACCCTCACCTCAGGGCTGTGTAACCTCACTGTGTGCTCACTCGCCTGACCCTCACCTCAGGGCTGTGTAACCTCACTGTGTGCTCGCCTGACCCTCACCTCAGGGCTGTGTAACCTCACTGTGTGCTCGCCTGACCCTCACCTCAGGGCTGTGTAACCTCACTGTGTGCTCACTCGCCTGACCCTCACCTCAGGGCTGTGTAACCTCACTGTGTGCTCGCCTGACCCTCACCTCAGGGCTGTGTAACCTCACTGTGTGCTCGCCTGACCCTCACCTCAGGGCTGTGTAACCTCACTGTGTGCTCGCTCCGCCTGACCCTCACCTCAGGGCTGTGTAACCTCACTGTGTGCTCACTCGCCTGACCCTCACCTCAGGGCTGTGTAACCTCACTGTGTGCCCGCCTGACCCTCACCTCAGGGCTGTGTAACCTCACTGTGTGCTCGCTCCGCCTGACCCTCACCTCAGGGCTGTGTAACCTCACTGTGTGCTCGCTCCGCCTGACCCTCACCTCAGGGCTGTGTAACCTCACTGTGTGCTCACTCGCCTGACCCTCACCTCAGGGCTGTGTAACCTCACTGTGTGCTCGCCTGACCCTCACCTCAGGGCTGTGTAACCTCACTGTGTGCTCGCTCGCCTGACCCTCACCTCAGGGCTGTGTAACCTCACTGTGTGCTCACTCGCCTGACCCTCACCTCAGGGCTGTGTAACCTCACTGTGTGCTCACTCGCCTGACCCTCACCTCAGGGCTGTGTAACCTCACTGTGTGCTTGCCTGACCCTCACCTCAGGGCTGTGTAACCTCACTGTGTGCTCGCCTGACCCTCACCTCAGGGCTGTGTAACCTCACTGTGTGCTTGCCTGACCCTCACCTCAGGGCTGTGTAACCTCACTGTGTGCTCGCTCGCCTGACCCTCACCTCAGGGTACTTCTCCAAGCAGAGAGCTGACTCCAGCCAGCTGGTCTACCTGCCTCCTCAATCAACTCCGCTGCTTTACAGAGCTGTCTGGGCTTCTTGGGGAGGCTCAGTTTGGATGCAACAAGAGGAGATCTTCCATCCACTAGTTCACTTCCCTATCGCTGCGCCATCCAGGGCTGGGTCAAGCCAAAGCCAGAAGCTTCTTCCAGGTGTCCCACCCATGTGGCAAGAGCCCAAGGACCTGGGCCATGATCCACTAGTCTCTCAGGTGCATTAGCAGGGAGCTGGATGGGAAGCAGAGCAGCGGGACTTGAACTGGCACCAGCCCGGACACATAATAAATAAAGCAGAATCATTGATTTCACCATTAAGATAAGCAGTTGTATCTAACTTCCAGTGAGAACTGGTCTTGTAACCAAACAATCTACACACGTAAAATGCAAAGCAACAGCAAACCTAAGCAGGAGGTAACCGTGCTCCACCTGTTACACGTCTGCGGTTGACAGGGAAGTCAGGCCTTCACACCACAGACAAAGGAACTACAACTCTGGGGCCAGCCTCACAGAACAGGGCAGAAGCTGCCTATGAGTTGGAGCCCTAAGGTTGCATTTTAGCTGCTCCACTTCCAATCCAGGATCCTGTTTACGCTCCTGGAAAAGCAGTGAATAACGGTTCAATACTCCTGACTCCTGGCCAGCCTTGGCTGTTTGCATGGTGATCCTGGTGGAGCTCCTGGCTCCTGGCCTGGTCTTGGCTGTCTGCATGGTGATCCTGGTGGAGCTCCTGGCTCCTGGCCAGCCTTGGCTGCCTGCATGGTGATCCTGGTGGAGCTCCTGGCTCCTGGCCAGCCTTGGCTGTCTGCATGGTGATCCTGGTGGAGCTCCTGGCCAGCCTTGGCTGCCTGCATGGTGATGCTGGTGGAGCTCCTGGCTCCTGGCCAGCCTTGGCTGCCTGTATGGTGATCCTGGTGGAGCTCCTGGCTCCTGGCCTGGTCTTGGCTGTCTGCACAGTGATCCTGGTGGAGCTCCTGGCCTGGTCTTGGCTGTCTGCATGGTGATCCTGGTGGAGCTCCTGCTGCCGGCTTTAAAGGAGTGAGCCAGAGGATGGAACGTCACTCTCTCTCTGTCAAATAGATCTTTAAAAGGAAGTGACAAGCCTGAACCGGAAGTGTATGTGCCAGGAAGGCACAGCTAACCTTTCAGTGCCCATGAAACAGCTCAGCAAGAACACAGGACCATTTTAGAAAATTTTACAAAAACCAACTCTTTCTACATGCTTGCTGCAAAACCCCAAAATGAATGTAAGAAAACAACAGAATTTTGAAGTCTTGGCAATGCATTTAGCAGAAAAAAATTCAAGACTTGTACACTGGGAATCATATAACACCGCAGAGAGAAAAGTGAATCAGGCAGATGGAGAGGGCCTGTGTCCTAAGGTGGGGCGTCGCCATGGTGGAGATACCTGCTGATCCCAACTGGCCCAAGGGTGGGCAGCCCTGGGAGGGCCAGGAGTGGGCAGCCCTGGAGGGTCAGGAGTGGAAGCCCTGGAGGGTCAGGAGTGGAAGCCCTGGAGGGCCAGGAGTGGGCAGCTCTGGGAGGGTCAGGAGTGGGCAGCCCTGGAGGGTCAGGAGTGGAAGCCCTGGAGGGTCAGGAGTGGAAGCCCTGGAGGGTCAGGAGTGGGCAGCCCTGGAGGGCTGGGAGTGGGCAGCCCTGGAGGGTCAGGAGTGGCAGCCCTGGGAGGACCGGGAGCTGGGCAGCCCTGGAAGGCACTTTAATCTTCCCATCAGTTGAGGAGCAGACCCTGGTATCTATACAGAATGGCAAAGGATTCAAAGCAGACAAGAGGATTGTGGGAACAGTGGGAGGGTCAGCTGTCCTGACCCTGTGGACAGCGCCCACTACACCTTACGGCCTGTGGGGGGCGCTGAAGGTCACGGCGACAGGCAGCAGTGGAGGAACCCCTCACCTGGGCACACGACCAATTTTTCAAAGTACTTATTATTGCTATTATTATTAATTTTCAAAGCCAGCAGCCATATTTTAACTTCAAAGAAACAGACTCTCCACTGAGAGGTGAGGAGGCGTGAACACCTGAAAAGCTCCAGCCACTGCACACGTGTGTGCATGACATGGGCTGAGGGGACCCCGCGGGCGCTGCGGCATGTGAGCCGCGCAGCGTGAGAGCCAGCTCACAAGGCCAGGGCAGGCTAGCAGCCTGGCAGCAGGCTCAGGAGCCGGGGGCAGCTCAAGCCCTGCCCAGCGCCCCAGGGAGGACAAAATGGCGGAGCTCCGAGGGCCCGCCAGGTGGGGACCAGGACGCGGCCTCTTGGCTCCTCTGCAGCCCAGAAGGAGCTGTCAGGGACAGCTGCACCAGGACAGCGACAAGGAGACCTGCCAGGAGCTCAGGCACGGGACAGGAATGCAGAAAGGACTTTTCCCTAAACACACTAACTACATTAGACTCATTCTAACAACAATTCTCATTTTATTCTCTTCAATGGGCTTGCAATGCAAAAAAAAATAATCAATTGTAAAGTCATTTAGAGTCCTGTTTGTCCCTGAGGAGGTGGTGACCATCTACCGTGTCACCATAAGAGAGGGTAGAAGCTTTTCTCCATCAGGGTAACAAGCAGAAGACAGTCTGTCTCGCAGAGGCCGCTGGTTAGAGCGTCAAGCTCCGACTGGCGGCAGTTGCACCTGCGATGCCCGCACAGCTGCCGTGCCCAGCATGGAGCTTACCTGTACACGATCCGTTCCCTCTGCAAGTCTTCCAAGCCACAGCACACCTCGGCAGCATAGAACACAGCCCTCTGCTCATCCAGGCCGGGCTGGCCCAGGTTGTAGATGTGGAACTTCAAGTCGCCTCCGTTCATGATGGTGAGCACGAGGCACAGGGCGTCCTTGGTCTCGAAGGTGTAGGCTAAACTGACCTGCACAGAGCATGCTCCTGTCGGAACTCGGCTCCCGCCCCTTCCAAGCGGGGCCTCACTGCTTAACCCCGACCCCTGGCGGCTGGGACCTGTCCCCCACCATGGACTTGCCCTAGGCAGCACAGCGGCGCCCCCGGCCGCTCCCCACGTGGGAAGCCCTGTGGGCTCTGCGTGGAGTTGAGCCGGCGGAGTCTGTGTGTATGCAAATGTTGGGGCGACTCAGGAAACACTGCGTGCAGTTCTATCTTTGCCCACTTTTCTACTTTCCTGTCGGTTTGCATACGCACCAGCAGGGTTTGGACTTGGCACTGTGTGTGTCCTTTGATCTGCAGCTTAACTGACGAGGACTACACATTGCATTTAATCGCCTCTCCACGGCCTTATCCAAGCGCTTGTAACAACAGCTGCCACTCTCAGCACACAGCTCTCACACATGTTCTCATGGCTTTTCTAGAATCACATTTCTTGATGCTATCATAAGTACTATCAATTAAAAGTCCATCTCCTAATTCCTTGTGCCAGACACATGTAATCACCAGCTAGGTCTGAGATTCTGCTAGGAGTTACACTGCTGGAGGTAATGACTGAGGTGGTACTGTGGCCCAGTGGGCAGAGCTGCCGCTGGTGTCCGTGTGCACCAGTGGGGCCCTGCTGCTGCACTTCCTATGCATGTATGCCAGTGCAGTAGGGAGCACAGAGGGCCCGGGAGGACAGAGGAGGGGCCAGGGTACCGGGAGAGAGTCAAGGTCTTCGGGCCCTTGAAGCCTGGAAGAGGCTCTTGGCTTCAGAATAACCCCACTTTGGACATTACACCCTTTAGGGAGTGAACCAGTAAGTGGAAGATCTCTGCATCTCCTCTCTCTAACCCTTTCAAATCAATAAAGCTTGTTTAAAAACTAATGGCTGGGCCTGGCACGGTAGGCTAGCTGCTAAAATCTTTGCTTTGCACATGCCAGGATTTCGTAAGTATTGGTTCCAATGCCAGCAACCACACTTCCCATCCAGCTCCCTGCCCGTGGCCTGGGAAAGCATTCCAGGATGGCCCAAGGCCTTGGGACCCTGCACCCGCGTGGGAGACCTGGAAGAAGCTCCTGGCTATGGAACCGTGCAGCTCTGGCCGTTGTGGCCGCTTGAGGAGTGAATCAGCAGAAGGAAGATCTTCCTCTCTGCCTCTCCTCCTCTCTATATGTCTGACTTTCCAATAAAAATAAATAGATCTTAAAAAAAAAAAACCCTGATGGCTGTTTTTAAAACCATCTACTGCTCAAGCCTTAATTCCTTGTCCTGCCCTGCTCCCTGGCTACAAGCTGTGCCGCGGTGCCGGACAGGAGCGCTGACCACAGGCACCCTCACGGCCTCCTGCCGGGCTCCCAGGAGCTCATTTTTTTAAAGATTTATTTTATTTTTATTGGAAAGGTGGATATACAGAGAGGAGAAACAGAAAAAGATCTTCCATCCGCAGGCTCACACCCCAAGTGGCCACAAGAGCCAAGTCTGAGCTGATCTGAAGCCAGGAGCCTCTTCCAGGTCTCCTACGTGGGTGCAGGATCCCAAGGCTTTGGGCCATCCTCGACTGCTTTCCCAGGCCACAGGCAGGGAGCTGGATGGAAAGCGGGGATTAGAACCGGCGCCCATATGGGATCCCGGATGTGCAAGGCAGGACCTTAACCACTGCGCCACCGCGCCGGGCCCCCAGGGGCTCTTTTGATCACAAATCACCCAGTTCAGCTGTGTGGGATTTCTATAGGAAACCCCCTTACACGGGTGGCTACCTAGCAGTTTTTAAAATCATTAATGGGTACAGAATTTGATTTGAAAAATTTTTCTGCATCTAATAAGATGATAATTTTCCCCTTTTGTTTTGGTAATATAATAAATCACATTAACTTGTTCTCATTCCTGGAATCAATCCGAGTCGCCCGCAATCCGCGGGAATCCCGAGTCAGAAGGTGCCAGTGGCAGGAGCCGTGCCAGGGCGCCTCCCATGGCAGGGTGGCACGGCGGCCAGGGCCCAGGCACGCGCTGTGTGCACTTACAGGGGCCCTCCCCTCTCCGGCAGGACCCCGGGGCGGCGGAGGGAGGCGGGCGGCGGAGGGAGGCGGGACCCCGGGGCGGCAGGCAGGCGGCGGAGGGAGCGCAGGGCACTTACCACAAACCTGCTCTGCACTTTCTCCAGCAGCTTCTTCTCGTTTAAAGCCAAGGCTTCACCTTTCCTCTTCTTTATTCTTTTTTTTTCTAGCTTTTTGCAGGCATACATCTTTCCTGTGGCTCGCACTTGACAGGCACAAACCTAGGTTGGTTTGTTTTTAAAGACAGAAACAGCAAGTTTTAGACACAAGTGATTTTTAAAAAGATTTTAATTATTTACTTTTGAAAAGAAAGAGTTCCAGAGAGAGAGAGATCTTCTATTCGCTCGTTAAGCCCCCTGAATGGCTGCACCTGCCCAGGCTGGGCCAGGCCAAAGCTGGACTAGAGGAACTGCACCCAGCTCTCGCACGCCACCACGGCTTCAGGCCTTTCCAGGGCACTGAACTTGAACCGGCCCCTGGAGGGGATGGTTCCGCTTACTCCGCCACGGGGCAGGTCCCTCTGTCTGCCATCTCTTAGACCACACTCTGTGACAGTCCTTCCCGTTAAGGTCCAGCAACAGTCTGATGAGAAGTGGACATGAAGGTGTTTAACGTACCTCTTCCTGAATCATGAATTCTTGTTTCTAGAAAGTTCTTAGGAGAATAAAGTGAATTTAACTTTGTGTTTCATAAATTTCAAGACAGGAACCAATGGAAGGCGTTGCTTCCAGGTGATCATGATTGCATCTGCTTAACAAGGGCTCTGTTCGTCTATTTCATTTTTGTAGGGCCGATGCTGCAGTGTGCCAGCAGCCCACATCAGACCGGGGGAGCCCCAGCTGTTCTATTTGCAGTCTAGCTCCCTGCTAACGTGCTTGGGAAAGCAGCAGATGACGCAATTACTCAGCTCCTGCCACCCATGAGAAGACCTGCACGGCCCTGGGTCCTGCCTTGCCTCAGCTCAGCTCCTGTGCACGTGGAGGACGTCTCTGTGTGTGTGTGTCTGTCTCCGCCTCTCCCCCTCTGCTATTCAAACAAATAAATTAGGCTTTTTTTCAAAAGCAAGTTTTAAAATATGAAACTAAAAAGATTAGTTATTAAAAAGTTCAAAACTATAGGGACACATATTTGACAGTTCCGATGTTACACTTTCCTGTCCTTAGGCAGCTCTTGCAGTACTGCTTCTATATTATCTCAGCTTTACGTTATGCACGTCTTCCAACACTGCACGGAGACCGCAGCACACGCAAGGCCTGACAGCAGCTCACTGCTGACCCCCGCGTGGCATCCCGAGTCCACGCACAGCACACCCCCACAGGACTGCTCTAAAAACAAATACGTTACACATCAATAAAATAATCCTGCTGATAAAAGTGACATGAAGTTCAGTGTGGAAAGTTTGTCCCGGTAACATCCTGCTGTGAACACAGGCAAGCAGGGGACACATTTGCTGCCATCACCTCTGCCAGTGAGAGCAGCGGCGGCTCACGTCACAGGGCGACAGCCCAGCACCTGTCATCCTGTACTTGCAGGGTGACCAGCTCCTCACTAGCAAATGCTTTACAAGATGACTACTAGAAATGTGCTTAGGGGCCCAGTGTGATAGTGTAGCGGTTAAGGTCCTCATCCTGAACATGCCGGGATACCATTTGGGTGCAGGTTCTAATCCCAGTGGCCCCACTTCCCATCCAGCTCCCTGCCTGTGGCCTGGGAAAACAATAAAGGATGGCTCAAAGCCCTGGGACCCTGCACCTGTGTGGGAGACCCAGAATAGCTCCTGGCTCCTGGCTTCAGATCAGCTCAGCTCCAGTTGTTGTGGCCTCTTGGGGAGTGAATCATTGTTTGATGAGATTTTCCTCTCTGTCTCTCCCTCTCTCTGTGTATCTCTGCCTTTCCAATGAAAAATAAATAAATCTTTTTAAAAAATGTATTTAGGACCCATCACAGTAGCCTAGTGGTTAGAGACCTCCCCTTGCAACCACTGGGATCCCATGTGGCGCCGGTTTGTGTCCCAGCAACCCCACTTCCCGTCCAACTTCCTGCTTGTGTCCTGTGAACACAGTGGATGCCCCAGGGTCTTGGGACCCTGCACCCATGTGGGAGACCTGAAAAGGCTCCTGGCTTCGGATCGGCTCAGTTCCAGCTGCTGCAGCCAGTTGGGGAGTAAACCAGTGGGTGGAAGATCTTCCTCTCTGTCTCTCTTCTTCTCTGAGTATCTGACTTTCCAATTAAAATAAGTAAATCTTTAAAAACAACAAAAAATGTGGGCCCGGCGGTGTGGCCTAGCAGCTAAAGTCCTCGCCTTGAACGCATAGGGATCCCATATGGGCGCCGGTTCTAATCCCAGCAGCTCCACTTCCCATCCAGCTCCCTGCCTGTGGCCTGGGAAAGCAGTTGAAGACGGTCCAAAGCTTTGGGAACCTGCACCTGCGTGGGATACCCGGAAGAAGTTCCTGGCTCCTGGCTTCAAATCGGTGCAGCACCGGCCACTGCGCTCACTTGGGGAGTGAATCATCAGATGGAAGATCTTCCTCTCTGTCTCTCCTCCTCCTCTCTGTATATCTGACTTTGTAATAAAAATAAATAAAACTTAAAAAAAAAAAAAAAAAAACAGGGCCCGGCGCGGTGGCGCAAGTGGTTAAGTCCTCGCCTTGCACGCCCGGGATCCCATATGGGCGCCGGTTCTAATCCCGGCAGCCCCGCTTCCCTTCCAGCTCCCTGCCTGTGGCCTGGGAAAGCAGTGGAGGACGGCCCAAAGCTTTGGGAACCTGCACCCGCGTGGGAGACCCGGAAGAGGCTCCTGGCTTCGGATGGGCATAGTATCGACCCGTTGCACTCACTTGGGGAGTGAATCATCGGACGGAAGATCTTCCTCTCTGTCTCTCCTCTCTGTATATCCGCCTTTCCAATAAAAAAATAATAAAAATAAATCTTTAAAAAACAAAACAAAACAAAACAAAACAAAAAACGTGTCTAGCCACAGCGCTGTCGTTTAGTCTGGGCACCCCTGTCTTTGCGTAGCTCCTCCATCCATAATTGAAGATAAACTCTTGTATATGGAACTGTCGGACAAAGGTGAGGAAGCAGGTCAGAGTCCAGGCACGGCAGCAGCAGCTGGACCGGATGCTCACATGGCCCTCACTGCGGCCAGGCCCAGACTACCACTCCACTACTGAGGACAAGGTCACACAGCCAAAGGGGACAGGCTGGGAACTTGACCTGGGGTCTGTCTGCCAGCCCTCCAAGCATGAGTGCAGCGCGTCTGTTGCTGCCGCAGATGCCTGGCAGCAGGCCCGTCGGCCCAACGCCCTTTCCACTGCCCATGTTTCAGATGGGCACACTCATTTCAGAGGACTTAAAACTCAAGCAGAATAGTTGCTGTTGAAAACATACGGCCAGCTCTGTCTGCCCTTGCGAGCCCTGTGGGCTCGGGTGTCTGCGCCCGGAACCTGCAGTGGCATCAGCAGGGCGTGTGGCCAGCATTCACAGCTCACCACCTTCGGGGCTGCACTCACAGAATAACACCCACAACGAGCTCGTGTGAAATCAGCAGGGTGTGCTCATCCACTTAATCATTTGCTTGGAAATCAAAGTAAATGTGTTCAAAAGTGATTCATAAAATCACAACTTCCACAAGGTTCCCAACAACTCGGATCTGCTTCCGGGCCTGAGCACGCCACCTGCCGGCCAAGGCCTGCTCAGCAGGCAGCACACAGCACAGCCAGCCTGAGTCCCGGGTCAGCGTCCTGCGATGCCACGTGCGGCAAGGGGAGTGCCCGCCCACATGTACATCCCCACGTCGGCCTGGCTCTGTCCCTCAGGTGAATTTTGTTTTAAAAATTCGTTTATTTTTGTGGGAAAGTCAGATATACAGAGAGAAGGAGAGAAAGATCAAGATCTTCCACCCACTAGTTCACTCCACAAGTGACTGTAAGGCCAGAGCTGAGCTGATCTGAAGCCAGGATCCAGGAGCCTCCTCTGGGTCTCCCACGTGGCAAAGAAGCAGATGATGGCCCCCTGAGCCCCTGTGCCAGACCAGGAGCTCCTGACTTCTGGCCCCCTGGTTCTTGGCTGCAGCTGGTTCCTGGTCCCCTGGCTCTTGGATCTGGCTCCTGGTTCCTGGCTCTGGCTCCTGGTTCCTGGCTCCTGGCTCTGGCTCCTGGTTGCTGGCTCCTGGCTCCTGGCTCTGGCTCCTGGTTGCTGGCTCCTGGCTCCTGGCTCCTGGCTCTGGCTCCTGGTTGCTGGCTCCTGGCTCCTTGCTCTGGCTCCTGGTTGCTGGCTCCTGGTTCCTGGCTCTGGCCCCTGGTTGCTGGCTCCTGGCTCTGGCTCCTGGTTGCTGGTTCCCGGCTGCAGCTGGCTCCTGGCTTCTAGCTCTGGCTCCTGGCTCCTGGCTGCAGCTGGCACAGTTGCTTGGAGAATGAGCCAGTAGGTGCAACAGCTTTTGCCTCCCCATTATCTTTCCTTCTCTCTGCAATTCTGCCTTTCAAATAAAACATTTTTTGGTAATTAATTTTTAGGTATTTTTAAGATGTATTTATTTTTATTGGAAAGTCAGATTTACAGAGAGAAGAAACAGAGAGGAAGATCTTCCGTCCACTGGTTCATGCTCCAAGTGACCACAATGGGCAAAGCTGAGCCAATGTGAAGCCAGGAGCAGGAACTTCTGGGTCTCCCACGCGGGTGCAGGGTCCCAAGGCTCTGACCCGTCCCCCACTGCTTTCCCGGGCCACAGGCAGGGAGCTGGGTGGGGAGTGGGCCGTCCTCGACTGCTTTCCCGGGCCACAGGCAGGGAGCTGGGTGGGGAGTGGGCCGTCCTCGACTGCTTTTCTGGGCCACAGGCAGGGAGCTGGACGGGAAGTGGGCCATCAAGACATGAACTCATATGGGATCCCGGAGCATGCAAGGACTTAGCAACTAGGCTACCGCGCTGGGCCCAATACATATATTTAACAATGCTCTCTACACTACATGAATTTAGGTGCTAGTCCTAAATTAGAGAAACAGAATAACAAATAATGTGGAGACAGAATAATTAACTTTTCATTTCATTTACTTATTAAATGAGACAGAGTGATAGTGAACGCATACGTGGGCTCACTTTGCACAAACCCCCCCAGGACTCGGCAGGACCAGAGCTGAAACAGCAGCCAGGAGCCAGCAGCCCATTTATGCGCTCGTCTGCCCTGCTCCTGCCTCTCTTAGCAGCAGCTCCACCCAGGCAGGACGATGTGGGGCTGGCACCTCAGCGTAGGCTCAGTGCTCACCCTCAGAAGGACCTGCATCTGACTGCGTCCGGACATTAACACAGGAAAATTGCTTCTGTCATAAATATGAGCCTGGCAGGACAGATGGAGCCAGTGCATCCTGGCTGTTCCACTTCTGACCCAGCTCTCTGCTAAGGCACCTGGGAAAGCAACGGACAATGGCCAAGTGCGTGCGCCCTGCAGCCGCACGGGACAGCTACCTGGAGTTCAGGGCTGCTGACTCGGCCTGGCCCAGTTCTAACAACTGTGCCCCTTGCGGAGTGAACCAGTGGGTGGAAGGTAGCTCTCTCTCTCTCTTTTTGTGTCTTTGAAATAAATAAATCTTAAGAATAAAAATACCAGATTCTCATAGTTGGCCAAAATTGCCAAAATACATTGGAAGGAAACAATACAGCAATAAAACTGGACATTACCCCAAGCTGGAGTCTTTCAATGTCCTGGCTGCCTGCCCACCCGGTAGCTAAGCACCACACACACCTGGCACACCTCAGTGCCCAGCTGTGCCCGGCTGTCTGCCCACCCTGCACGCACCTGGCACACCTCAGTGCCCGGCTGTGCCTGGCTGTCTGCCCACCCTGCACGCACCTGGCACATCTCAGTGCCCGGCTGTCTGCCCACCCTGCATGCACCTGGCACACCTCAGTGCCCGGCTGTCTGCCCACCCTGCATGCACCTGGCACACCTTACTCACCTCTCCGAATCCGCCTTTCCCCAGAACTCTGTAGTATCTAAATGTGTTCTTCGTCACTGGTTGCCTAATTAATTAAAAGGGAAAGTGTGAGGTCTCTAGGACACCACTGTTGTGCAGCAGAAAAGCCCACCTTCCCATCCTGGCCCTGCTTCCTGAGGCACGCTGTGCCAAGGGGCGCCCAGCACACAGAGGCACGAGGCACAGTGAGACTGTCTCCCCTGCAGCCCCGCCGGCCTCCCTGGACTCGGGCCTAGCCTAGGGACACTCCCGGCCGCTCAGAGCCAGCAAGGACAACGCTGAGAGCACGCGGGCTTGGCAGAGGACCTCCGGAGGGCCTCGCATCCCACAGCCCGACGATGATTGAGCTAACACCGGGAACTATCAGCAGCAGCAGTGACGCCAACAGTGCCAGGAGCAGCTGTTCGCTTCACCAACCACCGTGCTGCGCACAGCCCCACTGGGTGACGGAGGGCGGCTGTCAGCGTGCCAGGGCAAAGGCAGGAGGGGCCAACCCTGCACGACAGGCCTAACTGCATCTTAGAAAGAAAGGAGAATGAACTGAATAGAAGAAACCATAGAATCTTGTACATAGTAGTAACTCCTGCACAAAACATCACATACAACTTAGGATTTCCAATAGTTTGGAAATATATGGTTCAATCAATACGTACTATGGCATGCTTGGACCTGCTCCACTCAGCTGATTAGTACATACCTTTCCAGCCATTTCCATTGTAAAAATCGAGAAAAATACGAGCTTTCTTGGTATTCTTGAAATGGTTTTTTGCTTAAGTAGCCATGGACAAGTCTAGAAGAGAGATTTCATGCCATTACACTCACGTGTTGCATTCCACCCTGCCCAGAGCTGTGCGTCGGGGTGACAGCACGAGGGTTTGCGGCTCGGCCGCGTGGGCGGAATGCGCGGCTGCGGCGGCCCCCAGGCCCAAACCCCCAGCCAGACAAGGTGAAATTCACACAAAATGAAACCATTTCACTGCAGCGTCGGAGGGGCTTCCCTGTGCGCACACACTTTAGGGGGGTGACTCGGCAGGACGCCACTGCGAAGACACGACTCCGTGCACAGGGGGCTGCGCCGCGCATGCCCGGAGTGCGGCTCTGGGCACAGCAGACAGGACAAAGCGCTCGCACGTGACCCTGAAGGCAAAACGCCACTCAACCCACGCAACACTGCTCGAAAAACCGCGCAATGAGGCTTGCTTCTTGGCTCTTACTGCCAATGCTGCCGTGGAAGTGGTGCTTCTCACTCGGAGAACAGATGCGGGAACGTGGCCTGCTGCTCACGGAGCAGCCGGCGGACAGCGGCTGGGCCTGGAGGAAAGGCCTCCGCCGCAGCAGGAGAGGCCTGGCAGGCTGGCCAGAAGTCAGCCAGAGGCGGGAAGAAGCATGGGCGCCCGGGCACGGCCCCCTGGCAGGAGGGCAGTTTATCGGGGGAGTTGCCAGGAGGTGCAGAAGTGAAGGAACTGGCAACCACGCCAGTATTCCCACTGAGGCGTGACTTCTGAGCAAGCCGTGTGGTTTGCTTCGCTGTAAAGCAGGCTCCACGGCTCCTAGGAGTCCAGTGTCCCTGCAGGGCTGCGCCTCCAGGCTGTGGAAGCCTTCTCTCCAGAGATCACTGCACGTGCACAGCACAACCGCTCTGAGGAAGGCTACTGGGTGTCTGCCTGCTTTCTGGAAGAATCTCACCCACATGAACAAAGGGTCTGTGGGTCGTCAGGCACGCTTGAGGGTGTGACAAAAGGCTAGACTGTTCCACACAGCTCCTGCTGCAGTGCAGGAAGCTGTGGCCTGACCCCGTCCGTGTCACCTGCTCGCCCCCTCTGCCCAGCAGGCTTGGAGCAGCTGCAGGGTGCTGCAGAGCGTCAGCTGAGGTGAAAGCAGCTTTGCTGGGAAGTGAGTCTGTGAAGCCCAGACCCCAACCGTGACCCCAGCCATGACCCCAGCCCAGATCTCAGCCCTGACCCCAGCCCAGACCCCAGCCGTGACCCCAGCCTGACCTCAGCCGTGACCCCAGCCCTGCTAGCACCGGCCTCACACTCTGCATAGAGTAACAAGGCTGACAGCCGCCTTCACTTCCCAGGGCAGCTCCCCAGCCTCCTCACCTCAGAAACCCACTTTTCCACTGCCCAGCAAAATAGACCCATCACCCACACGTCAAGAAGCTGTGACACAGAAACCCTTCCACAGACTTCCACAGACTCACCTTGGCCCCTGCAGCTGTGGCCCCCCTCTGCAGCCCCCCCCCCCGCAGCTCCCTCCCTCTGTGGCCCCCGCCCCCCGCAGCCCTCCTCTGCCATGAGAAGACAGCAGGCAGGGGAAGCTTCCTGATCTACAATCAGGAGCAAAGGTTGTGGGGGTTGTAACAATCCAGAAATGAGGCAGAATACTGTCGCTTGGGCAGTCCCTCATAGTGTCTACCCAGAAGTACACTGCTGTGTGCACAGACTTCAGGGAGAAATTACTTGACAGAAAGAATTCCACTAGAAAGACAATGAATACAAATAAATACAAAGACAACGAATGCGATTGCCTCCCAGTGCTGACAGTTCCAAGGGCCTGCAGGAGGGACAGGCCAGGCCTGGAGGCAATCACCTGGCCGAGACGCCAGGAAAGGCACAGAAGGGCCAGCAAGCTCTTTACACGAAGCCCCTTTCTGGCTTCCACAGTCAGCCTCGGGCGCTGGTGAGCCTCCAGTGCCTCTCGGGTGTCGCCCCGCTGGGTGTCTGAGCTGTGCCTCAAGCCCAACAGGCCCCAGGCAGGCACGGTCAGCAGGCCTCACCATCGCACTGTCACCTCTGTTCAGGCCACCACGCAAGCTCCCCTGGAATACTGCGACAGCCTGAAAGGCCCAGCTCATAGACCCACCCTTGCGCCTTCCAACCATGCTCTGCCACTGCACTCAGAGCAGTCCCAAAGTACACCAGGGACGGGCCTCGAGGCCCATGATGTCTCAGCTGATTCTCTGCCTGCAGGAGCAGTTCCTGTCCCGGCTGCCCCACTTCCCATCCAGCTCCCTGCTGCAGCCTGGGAAAGCAGTGTGGGCGGCTCAAGTACTTGGGTTCCTGCACCCATGTGGGAGACTTGGAAGAAGATCCTGGACTCAGAGAGACTCAGCTTTGGCCATCGTGGCAATTTGAGGAGTGAATCGTGCGTGGAAAGTCTCTCTCGGTGAGGTGACTCTCCCTCTGTCTGTAAACATGCCCTTCCAATAAAAATACACAAGTGTGTGTGTGTGTGTGTGTGTGTGTGCGCACACGCGCGTAAGGCACAGCAGAAAACAGGCCTTAGGCACAGCAGGTTCAGTTGGGCCTCTCCTCTATCGGAATGCTGGCTGGGATCTGCTTGTTCTGTTTCTAATCCAGTTCCCTGCTATCTGTGAGGCAGCAGGGGGTGGCTCAGTGCACCTGCTCCGGCCCGTGGGAGACCCCGTGCAGCTCCTGGTTCCTGCCTCTAGCCTGGCCTGGTGCTGGCTCATGTGGGCATTTGCGGACAAGCAGAGGGTCGATATTTCCGCCTCTTTCTTGTCTCTGCCATTCTAACTTCAAAAGTAAATTAATTTTGAAACACTCACTGGCTACATCACTCAAAGCTAAGGCACATCTGTCCCCGGCTGCCTGGCCCCAATGTTCCCTCCTGTGGAACAAGCGGATGGCTACTTAGGTACACAAGGGCCTCCCGTTCCCAGGTCCAACCCCTCAGGAGTGTGGGCTGACGAGCCAACCAGCTCTGCCTTCCCATTCTGCTGTCCACACTGCAGAAGACTCACAGAAAAGCCCTGCCCATGGCAACCTAGGGGCTAGAGTTCTCACCTGGTGTGCCTGGGACCCTGTATCCCGGCAGCCCCACTTCCCATCCCGCTCCATGCCTGTGGCCTGAGAAAGCAGTGGAGGACGGCCCAGAGCCTTGGGACCCTGCACCTGTGTGGGAGACCCAGAAGAGGCTCCTGGCTCCTGGCTTTGGATCTGGCTCAGCTCCAGCGATTGCAGTGAATGGAAAATCTTTCTCTCTGTAAATCTGATTTTCCAATAAAAAATACAATCTTAAAGAAAAAAAGATAAAAAGAAAAGCACCAGTGTCCAAAAAGGCCCTTGTGGCCCGCCCGGCTTTCAGCGAGCGGGGCCCGCGCCAGAGCCCTGTGCACGTGTGTGACCCTGGTCAAGCCCACGAGCCACGTGCAAGGCCACGCACAGACCACTTACCCAGCACACTCCTCAAAGACTTTTCTAGAGGGGTTCTGCTTCAGCCTCAGCTTACATTCTTTCACCACAGCTGGAAGTATTTCTGGCAAAGAGATGGCCAACTTCTTGATTCAGCACAAATCAAACACATGACAGTTAGTGATTTCATAAACACACCAATGCTGTGCCTAAAAATAAAGGCAGGAATTACAGATCATGCATTCCCCTCACCCGCTCGCCATTCCCCATCTCCGCGTGGGCCCATCAGCACACCCAGCGGAGGGCAGGAAACCTGACAGCTGTGCCCCCTCCCCAACGGCTTGGCGGCAACAGCCAGAGGAGAGAAGCAGGGCGAGTGGCACACAGTGGCACAACCGGCAGCCTTGAAAGGAAGGGGGTCAGCCAAGGTGCCACCAGAACCTTGGCAACAGCAGGCACAAAGGAACTGCTTCCTCTTATTCGGTCCTGGGAGAGCTAGATGGAGAGAGAGAGGTGCAAGGGGGTGCCCTGGAGAGGGCACGTTCTTAGGAGTGCCTCTCGATCCTGCTGACGACGGGCAGAGCCCCTGGAGCCTCCCAGAGAGCCTGTTTTTTGCATGTTTATTTTATTTTATTGGAGAAACACAGAGAAGGAGACAGAAAGATCCTCCGTAAACCAGTCTACTTCCCAAGTGGCCACAATGGCCAGAGCTAAGCTGATCCAAAGCCAGGAGCCTCTTCCAGGTGTCCCACATGGATGTAGGGTCCCAAGGCCCTGGGCCATCACCTGTGCCTTCACAGGCTACAAGCAGGGAACTGGATGGGAAGTAGACCAGTGTACAGGACCCTGGCAGAAGCGAGGCGAGGACTCAGCCAGCAGGCTGCCACGCCAGGCCCATGGGACCCTGGCTTCTGCGAGGCGAGGACTCAGCCAGAAGGCTGCTGCACTGGACCAGGGACAGAGTATTAGCTTTGCAAGATGGGAAGGTTCTAGAGACTGGTCACACAGCAAGGTCAGTGCACTTAACACCATTGAATGGCACACTTGGAAACAATTCAGGTAGAAAATGGAATGCTATTTGCATTTGGCCTAGTGGGGAAGGTGCTGGTTAAAATGCCCCCGCCCAGAACACCAGCCAGTTCACATCAGGGCCAGGACTGGGGGCTGGCTGGGCTGACCTGAGTTGGGCTAGACTGTAGTACCTGCCAGAATAAAGTGGAACTGGGTGCAGGCCAGGCCTAGCCAGGCTACAGCACACGGTGGATGCTGAGGGAAGGCAAGCGATGCCAGCCTGGGCCACAGCTCCCACCAACACTCTTCACCTGGAATGGTAGGCAAACACAGTAGGAGAGCTGTGGGGACTCCCTGCTGGGTCACTGCTGGTGAGCGTGAGATGGGACTGGAGGCAGACCAGGTGGGGCAGGGCCACAACATCTGTTGGCCTGCATGTTAGTTGGGTCAGGGAGAGAGCCAGGCTGGGCTAAGTGAACATATTCACTGGTGCATGAGTGAGTGAGGGCAGACTGGTTGGGCTCTGCTGCAGCAGGGGCTAGCAGGTGCCGGGACTAGGGGCAAGTCCTGTCAAGCTAGACTGCAGAACCACTAGGAAAGTGCAAGATCCAGGACTGGGAGCGGGCCTAGCAAAGAAACTGTGGACACCCCTTTGATGGGCTGTTGCTCCTACTGCTGAGCATAAGAACCAGGGCTGGGAGCTGGACAGGGGCACCTGCTGACATGAGTATAAACTGGATAGTGGAGCTGGTCGGGTTGAGCTAGTTTTCAGTGGACACTGAATGGGATATGGGATAAATTGGACCAGTGTGCTGCATATACCGGCATATACAGGAACTAGGGCCTGGTGGGAGTTATTGGGGGTAGCTCCAACTAGCCTGTAGTTCCCATTGGTGTATGTGTGGGCCGAGTGTGTGCTGGGCAGGGATGGTCTGGGCCGCATATGAGATGGGGCTAGGGACAGGACTGCTGGCACACACGGGAGTCAGGTTGGGGTCATCTCTGGTGAGTTTTCTTTGGGGACTCCCTTAACTGGACCACTAGACTAAGAATTCCAACCACGGTGACAATCACAGGAGCTGTGCGCTGACCGTGGGGTACATGGGTCACAACTGGGCCTGCTCGGGTGCTGGAGCCTGTGCGGTGGACGGCACGCCCAGAAGCACATCGGGACATGACAGCCAGTTCATCGAGGCCTGCAGAGGATGTCCAGGACCACGGAGGGCAGGACAAACTGCACAGCTCTCCCGGTGAAGTTTTGACAGAGAGTATCTGGGGGAGCAGAGACCCTAAGGTGGACTGTGTCAGCCAGTGGGCCTTGGGAGGACTTCCCCAAGCTTGGAACAACAAAATCAACACCTCAGAACTGCTGAACCTGCTTGGGCAGTGCCCTCAGAACAGGCTCCACACTGGGGACCCTGGGATGACCGCAAGTCATCCACCCCTGGGTGCCGTCCCCCACCCCTGGGTGCTGCCGTGGTTAGGCTGCTGGGAGTGGTCCTCTCCCCTGCTCTCCTCTTCCCCAGATACAGGGAGAAAAGGAGATTGGAGGCAGCTGTCTCATCCACGCTTCCCTATTCCTCGACCCTCCCCACCCTAATTGGTGGTCCACATGGCCATGCATCCTTCTCAACTATGGAAACATCATCCAAAATAAACTGAATTATTATTTTTTTAAATACCCCCCTCCACAGGCTGGTATCATGGCAGAGTGGTTTAGCCACCTGTGGCACTGGTATCCTCTATGGGAACTATCCCAAGTTCCCGTCACCACACTTCTAAACTTTTTCCCCACTTTTTACAAAGTTTACTTGTAAATGTACAACAGGCCCTAAGGTAACACTTCATTCTAGCATCCAGATACTGCAGCCAGGAATCCAGATGTCCAGACACGCAGGGGCTCAGGGGCAGTGTCACTACAGGTATAAGGGGCAGCTTGCTTTCTCCAGGTTTCCTAGTTGCACCTGTGGCCGTGGGCCTTTCTCTGCGGCCTGCGCCTTCCTTTCCAGTCCTTGAGCTTCTGGTCCTCTTCCTGGGCTTGCTTGCAAGCCTTACCCTCCTCATCCAGCTCCTTGGCCTGCCGCTTGGGGTGTTTCAGAGTCAGACATGGTGCCTGCCACACCAAACTTTTTTTTTTTTTAAAGATTTACTTATTTTTATAAGAAAGACAAATTTATCAAGAGAAGGAGAGACAGAATGGCCGCCACAGCCGGAGCTGAGCCCACTAGGAGCCAGGAGCCAGGAACCAGGAGCCTCTCCCAGGTCTGCCATGGGGGCTCAGGGTTCCAAGGCTCTGGGCCGTCCTCCACTGCTTTCCTAGGGCATAGGCAGGGAGAGGGATCAGACCTAGAGAAGCCAGGACACAAAGCAGCAACCATGTAAGATGCTGGTGCTACAAGGTAGAGGATTAGCCAGTTGAGTTATGGTGCCGGTCCCTAGCTGCTTCATTTCTGATCCAGTTCTCTGCTACCACACCAGAGAAAGTAGCAGAAGGTCGCCCAAGTACCTGACCCTTGCCACCCACGTGGGAGATGAGCTGGCTCCTGTCTTTGGCCTGGCCCACCCTGGCGTTGTAGCCATTCAGGGAGTGAACCAGCAGATGGAAGTCCTCTCCGTAATTCTGCCACTAATAAATAAATCAATGAAATGTCCACACCCCATTCTGGAGTAGTTGCTGCGGCTCCTACTCCACCTTCTGCTGATGCAGACCCTGCGTCACAGGGAGCGGCTCAGGTCACTGGTGCCTGCCAGCCATGCAGGAGACTTGGAGCAAGTCTCTGACTCCCAGCCTTGGTCCTGGCTGTTGCGGCCATGAAGAGTGAGTGAAGCAGCAGATGCAAGCTCCCATATGAGTGGCAGGGAACCAACCATGGAGCATCACCAACTGCCTCCCAGGCACACAGCAGCAGGAAAGCCGGTTCAAAGTGGAGCCAGGACATGAACAGGCATTCGGGTACAGGGTGGGAGCCTCAGGCGGCACGCTGCCTGTCCCTCACCATGCAATCCTAGAATCGTTTCTCTCTCCTGCATGGTCTCCCTTGCTCAGGAGAGAGGAGGGAAAAACGAGACTTTTACAAATCAAGACAATCTGTCCATGAAGTATTCCTTCTCCTGCCAAGCACTGTCATGTTCTAACGCCGTGTCTGAGGAGAACGCGTGAAGCTGACGACTGGGGATCACAAAGCAGTGACCCCGCTGCTGTGGGGCAGCTCGCCGGCCTGCCCCATTCCCAGGCCCAACTAAAACTTGCAGTCTCCACTTCCTTGGACCCATTGCTATTCTCTAACTTTCGTTTCTGTGTGTCTCATTCTTCACCACCATGAACCTCAGACTTCTCACCTGGAAATGGAGGTGATGGTTATAACTCGCGTGGGCCGCAGCGAGGATGCAATAATGCATGCACCAGGGCCAGGGCAATGGCTCAACGGGCTAACCTCTACCTGCAGTGCACTGGTTCATGTCCCGGCTGCTCCACTTCCCACGAGGCTCCCTGCTTGTGGCCTGGGAAAGTAGCAGAGGACAGCCCAAAGCATTGGGACTCTGCATCCACATTGGAAAATCAGATGGAATTCCTGGCTCCTGGCTTCAAAGCAACTCAGCTCTGGCCATTGTGGCCATTTGGGGAATGAGAAGATCTCACTCCCTTCTCTTTGTAAATCTGCCTTTCCAATAAAGATAAGCCCTAAGACAAGCAGAGAACAGAGTGCAGTGCCAAGGCTTACAGCAGCACTAATGCCAGGTGTGCTTGCTACGCTGTCCAGCGCAGGCCTGCTGAGAACTGAGGAACAAAGCAGGTGTCACTCCAGCACCACAGCACAGTGGAAGGACCCGTGACTCAAAGGCATATGGTATAAGATTTGCTGAAGTTTTCAGGAAAAACATCATTTGCTTCTATATCCTGCTCTGGTTAAACGCAGCAACGAAATTCTTTGAGTCACTTTTCTAAGGAATTTGTTAATCTTCTCAGTGAAACAAACAAGACAGAGGACCATTCTTACTAAACTAAAGCTTTAAGACATTTGCTACCTCTTATCCAACAATCAAGGGCTCTGCAAGCCAATTACTTCCCGAGTTGTTTGCAAACCTTACTGGGAACAGCAGAGCACACACCTCCTTGCTGAAGAACCCCTCCAGAATGGAGAGTCCGCGGCGTGCCTGGTCCTCGTCCACGGTCACTTCGTACTCCGCCTGTGGAGAAGCAGGAGCCGCGATGAGTGTCGGCAGCCCTGCAGCAGACGGCGCTCCGGGCGAGCCATCTCCAGGGCTTCCCTGGGACCCCGAGAGCAGGAAGGCAGGGCGAGGGCATGGGCTGCGCCGGCAGGTTAATAAAGCAGTAGAGTAATGCTTTCCCCGGCGTACTCTGTGGGACTATATTTTTGTCATTAACTCTAGCTAAGTAGAGTGAAATAAAATAAACAGCTTAGATTATTTTAGTCAACAATATTTCAGAAATGTCCAAGAGCATCAGGTGGCCGCCCCCCACCCCTGGGTGCTGCAGTGGTTAGGCTGCTGGGAGTGGTCCTCTCCCCTGCTCTCCTCTTCCCCAGATACAGGGAGAAAAGGAGATTGGAGGCAGCTGTCTCATCCACGCTTCCCTATTATTACAAAAGAAAGAAAAGAAAGGAGAAGAGGAGAGAAGAGAAGAGAAGAGAAGAAAAGAAAAGAAAAGAAAAGAAAAGAAAAGAAAAGAAAAGAAAAGAAAAGAAAAGAAAAGAAAAGAAAACAAAGGAAAGGAAACAAGTGCCATAGCCTAGTGGCTAAAGTCTTCACCTTGCACATGCTGGGATCCCATATGGGCGCTGGTTCTGCTTCAGACAGCCCACTTCCCATGCAGCTCCCTGCTTGTGGCCTGGGAAAATAGTCAAGGATGGCCCAAAGCTTTGGAACCCTGCACCTGCGTGGGAGACCTAGCGGAGGCTCCTGGCCTCTGGCTTCAGCTCAGCACAGCTCTGGCCATTGCGGCCACTTGGGTAGTGAACCAGCAGATGGAGCATCTTTATCTCTCCTCTCTAAATTTGGACAGCTGCGGGGAGTGGGAGCTGGCAGTGCAGGACACACACAGGTGGCAGCAGCCCTCGGCGGAGCTGACACTTCCAGGCCAGGGAGCAGCAGGCTCAGCAGACAGGCGAGCAGAACTGGAAATGAGGAGCGAGCCAACAGGGTGACCAGCACGTCAACGGCTGAAGCCCCAGATCGGCCAAGGCTGACGGCAGCTGGAGGCAGTGAGCCCTGCACAGCCAGGCCCGGCGTCCACGACCACCAAGCTGACAAGCTGCTCAGCACCAGCCCTGCCTGCTGGGATCACAGTGCTGTATGCCCCGTGACAACAGCCAGCACGCTGACAGTCCTATGGCCTGCACGGCCCGGGATGGCCTTCTGCTGTGCCCGCGCGACAGGCAGCAGTCCTCAGCCACTCGTACACTAACGGAGATGCCCAGGGGACGTCACCCGCGCACAGCTAAGACCAGGGAAGGGAGAGCATCGCAGACCATCGGGAGGGCTGACCCAAGTCTTCGAAAAATGTCCACAGCAGAGCTGTTCTTTCTTTCTTTCTTTTTTATAATTACATTGCATTATGTGACACAGTTTTACAGGTACTGGGATTCCCCCCACCCCTCCCCGCAGAGCTGTTTTTAACGCAGAAAAGCCCACTTAGCATAGTAGCTTCAGCCTGCTTCTGGAACATTCCACCATGCTGCGACTGAAGCCCACACAACTGGGTGAGCTAGCTGCTCGCCATCAGTGGCTGCACACGTGCCTCCCACTGGTTAAGGTTGCCTGGGTACACACACAAACACTGAGCCACAAGTGTGGCAAGCACAGCGGGGCTGTGAGGACGGGGGGCGGGGGGGGGGTGCAGCCCCGCCACTCGGGGAGCCCGAGCAGAGCTGAGGCAGCCCACGCTGCAGGAATGGCCAGTCCCGGCTGCCCAGGAGCCCATCTGTCACCACACAGTTCCTAGCAGGTGTCATGACAATAGAAAGACGTAACGGAAATCGCTTTGACAAGCAATCAGGCTTTGTTAAACTCCAGCAGCTCAGGCAAGCCTACCCCAGCACAAGGAAACGTGCACTCGTGGTCTGGCCTGAGCCCTGCAGGCAGGCGGGCCTCACAGCTCCACAGGAACAAACCCCTTTTTCTTTCTTTATTTTTTTTTCCCTTGGAAAAAATGATGCCACTGCGTAATCCATGAGCCAGCAATGAATTTGACAAGAAAAAAGAAAGTATTTGTAATAAATGAGACTGAAATAAAAAATATCAAAACACATGGAATGCAGCCAAAAACAAAAAAACAAAAAACCCCAGCATGGATCGGATTATTGAAGTTACACTTTCCCTGCTGGTTCCTCACATAAGAGAACATGTGGTATTTGTTCCTTTGTGACTGACTCATTTCACTGAGCGTAATGGTCTCTAATCCGCCCCTTCTAGTTGTAAATAGTTAATTTAATTCTTCTTAATAACTAAATAATATTCCATGGAGTAGATTCACCACAGTTTCTTTAACCACTCTTCTTTGGACACACATCTGGATTGTTTCCATGTCTTTGCTATTGTAGATTGTTATGCTGCAAATATAGGGTTACAGATCCCCTTCTCATATGCAGATTTCACTTCTTTTGGGTATATTCCTAGGAGTGGGATAGCTGGATCGTATGGCAGTTTTATTTGCAATTCTCCAAGCACTCTCCATACTGATTTCCACAGTGGCTGTACTAGCCTACACTCCCACCAGCGGTGAAGGAGGGTACCTTTCTCCCCTCATCCTTGCCAACAGGTGTTAGTAGAGTTCTGAATGTAGGCCAGTCTCACTGGAGTTAGTGGTTTTCATTTGTATCTCTCTGATGGCTAGAGAGCCTGAGCATCTTTTCATGTCTGTTAGCCATTTGAATCTGTTCTTTTGAAAAACATCTCTTCATTTCCTTTGCCCATTTTGTTACTGTTTTTTTTTTCTGTCCCTGGGTTTCTGAAACTCTTTGTAAATCTTGGATATTATTCGCTATCACTTGTATAGTGCGCAAAAAATTTCTCCCACTCTGTCACTCTGTTGATTGCTCCTTCACTTTTTTTTAATTTAATTTTTTTTATTATTACTATTTTTTCATTGGAAAGGCAGATATACAGAGAGGAGAGACAGAGAGGAAGATCTTCCATGCGATGATTCACTCCCCAAGTGAGCGCAACGGGCTGATACTATGCCCATCCGAAGCCAGGAGCCTCTTCCAGGTCTCCCACGCGGGTGCAGGTTCCCAAAGCTTTGGGCCGTCCTTGACTGCTTTCCCGGGCCACAGGCAGGGAGCTGGAAGGGAAGCGGGGCTACCGGGATCAGAACCGGCGCCCATATGGGATCCCGGGCGTTCAAGGCGAGGACCTTTAACCACTTGCGCCACTGCGCCGGGCCCTTAATTTAATTTTATCACAAAGTCAGACATACAGAGAGAAGGAGAAAAAGAAAGGAAGATCTTCCGTCCAATGAGTCACTCTCCAAGCAACCGCAATGGCCGGTGCAGCGTCAATCCAAGGCCAGGAGCCAGGAACCTCCTCCAGGTCTCCCATGTGGGTGCAGGATCCCAAGGCTTTGGATCGTCCTCAACCGCCTTCCCAGGCCACAAGCAGGGAGCTGGATGGGAAGTGGAGCTGCTGGGATTAGAACTGGTGCTCATATGGGATCCCGGCGCGTTCAGGGCGAGGACTTCAGCTGCCAGGCCACACTGCCAGGTCCTGCCTCCTTACTTTGTTGACTGTTTCCTTTGCTGTACAGAAGCTTTTTTTTTTTTTAAAGATTTATTTTTATTATTTTTTTATTGGAAAGGCAGATATACAGAGAGGAGAGACAGAGAGGAAGATCTTCCATGCGATGATTCACTCCCCAAGTGAGCGCAACGGCCGATACTATGCCGATCCGAAGCCAGGAGCCTCTTCCAGGTCTCCCACACGGGTGCAGGGTCCCAAAGCTTTGGGCCGTCCTCGACTGCTTTCCCGGGCCACAGGCAGGGAGCTGGATGGGAAGCGGGGCTGCCGGGATCAGAACCGGCGCCCATATGGGATCCCGGGCGTTCAAGGCGAGGACCTTTAACCACTTGCGCCACTGCGCCGGGCCCACAGAAGCTTTTTAGTTTGATGTTCATTTTGGCTCTGACTGCCTTTGCCTTTGGTGATTTTTCTAAGAAGTCTTTCCCTGTTCCTCTATCTTGGAGAGTGCTTCCTACGTTTTTCTTTACTGGTTTGGTGGTTTCTGGGTGTAGATTTAGGCTCTTGATCCATTTGGAGCTGATTTTTGTATACAGACAGGTGCGGGTCTTGCTGCTTTATTCTGCAAGCTGCTATCCAGTTGTCTCAACATTTGTCGACTCAACCAGGCTTTTCCCCCGGATTGTTTTCCATTTTCTTGTCAAAGATGAGTTGACTATACATGCGTGGGCTCCCCTCTCAAGCCCCTCTGCTAAGCCTTGTCTCACTCTAAGGGAATGGAAAGGTCGCAGGGAGTGAATAACAAAAGGGCTAGTACTGCTTTCCGCAATGCTAATTACAAATAAATATATTTAAAAACTTAAAAAAATGAATGCCAGCTCAACGACATAGGACAGTTCTTTGCACTTAACAGAAACTCAATCCCTATTTGCTGAAATAACTAGGATCGGCCAAGAAAGAGAGAACTGAGACACAGCATGGGTCCAATGCGACAGCTTTCCTCAGCAAGCCCACCTGCTGTCCCCTGGGCCCTCACTTCTCCATCGCAGTTTTGAAATTCTAGGCTTGCCAGTTGTATCTGCAAAGAGAAACTCAAGGGTTCTAGAGTTCCTTACCTCTAGGAAATGACACTAAAGCTCACACAGAATTGTAGGAATTTGGGCCCGGCAGCGTGGCCTAATGGCTAAAGTCCTCGCCTTGAACACACCGGGATCCCATATAGGCGCCGGCTCTAATCCCGGAAGCTCCACTTCCCATCCCACTCCCTGCTTGTGGCCTGGGAAAGCAGTCAAGAACGGCCCAAAGCTTTGAGACCCTGCACCCGTGTGGGAGACCCGGAAGAAGTTCCTGGATCCTGGCTCCGGACCAGCATAACATCGGCCACTGCACTCACTTGGGGAGTGAATCATTGGATGGAAGATCTTCCTCTCTGTCTCTCCTCCTCTCTGTATATCTGCCTTTCCAATAAATAAATAAATCTTAAAAAAAAAAAACCAAAGAACTGTGGGAATTTGGATAATAGAGAGCAGAGTGAAATAGATTGACGTTGGTCTTCCCTCTCTGTGTCCCCACCCAGGCCCGGGCCAGCTTTTCCCTTTATACCGGTACCTGCTGAGGGCTGGCAGGGCACATCTCTGGTGGCTGGATCAGCACCCTGTCTCGGCCTGTCAGTCTCAGAGCAATGAGAGCACCGAGGGCCCTGCGAAGTGGGGTACGGAGGCGGGGAGACCTGGGGCCACTCACCACTGCGTTCAAGAACTCGATGCGTGTCCTCAGGTCAGGCTTCGTGGCACAGAACTGCCTGAAGAGAAGTCTTCCGATCGGCTGCTTGTCACACAGACTGTCATAGTCTTTCTCTGAGAGAAGGGTCAGGAGCAGACAGCATCGTTACAACACGCTGCTCAGCTACAATTTCTTTTCTCACTCAATACAATAAAAGCAGACAGTATTTCCACTATCATTTTAAGATGATTGTTTCTTGTACTTTCAATTGTGTCCCCTGCAGGCTCACGTAACCACCTGCCGGGGTGTACACTAGCAGAGGGACCTGGAGCGCCACCCGGGTGTCCCCTGTGGGGCAGGTTCACACCGCCGCCTCCCGGGGTGTACACTAGCAGAGCTGGGAAGCCGAGCCAGGCACTCAGATCTGAGACTTGCGCACTGCAATGCCCACTACCCTGCTTTCTAAACTCCTACGGGTCTACTGATTTAAACTGTGCCTTCACAATACCCACAGTACCCGGACATCAGGAGGAAGGCCCAGATGTGTGCAGGCTGTTCTCAGCAGGAACTGGCACAAACAGTGCGCCCCCAACGAAGGGAGAGAAAAGAGATCCGTTGCTCAACTCCTACTGCACCGCTTGGGCGCTGCCTGGCACACGCTGCACACGCTACGGCGCGCAGCAGCCACGGAGCTGCTTTTCTCAGTCTTGCATCATTTGCCACCCTCTGTACCTGCATATCCTTACCTGCTTCTGCTTTAGAACCACGTACCGAGATCCAATGAATGTGTCCAAAGGGACATAAAACAAAATCATGCAGCCAAAACAGGACAATTAAACAAGGAAAGCTATTGCTCTCTTAGCACTGGCCCTTAGCCTTAAGTAAATGTAAGTATATTTGGGTATCTCTAAACTGATTGTCATGCTGGAACATAGAACATTAAAATGACTAAATGAAAAGCTTAGTAATGCCAAGAAACTCTGGGGATCAAGGATTGTGTGTGGGGGTGAAAGTGGGCAGGGAACACTCCCTCAGGGCCAGCACACAGCTGGGGTGTGAACACCTGCTCTGGGGGAGGGGGGCGGTCAGCACACAGCTGGGGTGTGAACACCTGCCCTCAGGGGTCAGCACACAGTGGTTGTGAACACCCCCTCAGGGGCCAGCACACAGCTGGGTGTAAACACCGGCCCTCGGGGGGCCAGCACACAGCTGGGTGTGAACATCCCTGCTGAGGGGGCTGCACACAGCTGGGCATTAAACCATTTTCACCAGGTGTGCAAACATCACACTCCACCGGTTCTGTTCCAGCACTCTATTTTATGGGGAGACTCTCAGGTGCACATGTAAAAACCTGAAGGGCTGGCACTCGGTTGTTAAGTCATGACTGCATCCAGGCGGGACCCCCAGGCCCTGGCCAGTTTGATGCTGATGGGCATCCGAGAGGCTGCAGGTGACAACTCCAGCAGTTGGGTCCCCGCCATCAAGGTGGGAGACTCAAATGGAGTTTTCTTCTGGGCATGAGCCTGGCCCGGCACTAGCTGCTGTGGGCATCTGGGGAATGAACCCATGGCTAGCAGAGTGTGTGGTTTCTGTTTCTGTTTCCATCTTCCTGCAAACCTCCTTTCATCAAGAGATCCTCCTGGGGTCTGTGCAGTGGGTGTGGATGACACAAAGGGGTGAAGAGGTCAGCTCCCCCGTTGGCAGGGCTTCCAGCTACATGGCAAGAATGTCTCTCCAACCACTCCAACGCAGTCTCACCCCCTTTTTGCATGGACAACCACCCCACTTAGAATTCTGTACTCCACTGAGGCATTGTTGCTTCTGCAACTGATGTGAGCCTGGGAGTTGATGTTGCTGATCATGTCTTGGTGAGTGGGCCTTTGACTGCACACAGGAGCACAGTCACGCCCGTGCCATTCTGGACACCTTATCGTGTGCCCACCCAAAGCGCTGGAATCGGGCCCAGACATGCAGCATGCCTTCTGGGAAATGGCTTGATAAGAATTCTACAAACTAATGGAAGTGAGGGTAGTATGAGCGGAAACTGCTATGGCAAAAAATTAGTTACTGTGACCCTAAAGGTTGGCCTGTCCTTGCAACTCCTTAGAGCACAGGAAATGTAGCTGCTTTAGCCGCTTTTACAATTTCTTAAATAGAGGAATTATAGGGTGATTTAATACTATAGAAATATGCTTTTGACTATTATTTGTTTATGAGGTTAGAGAGTCTGCAGTTGAAGGGGGATTTAATGTTTCAAACTTTTTATCTTGGACCTTTGCTTTTTCCCTCTTGATGTATTTCTCCCATTAAGTGATAAGTTGTAGAAACAGAAATGTGGTGGGAATGTTAGTGATGAGCAGGTGACCGCACGTGCCTCGGCCTCGGAGTCCCGGCTGTCGCCTAACGCTGCTGCTGAAGAACGCATAATGCTTTGCTCTGAACAATTATCTTCAAGAGCACCTGGTTGACCATGAAGTAAAAACCAATTAATTGAACATCTGTGCACGCTGGCTTAGATCTGAAGGTAGTCAAATCCAACGTTTGTGCAGACTTGTGATGTGTCTAAGAAAACAAAAAGGCCAGCTTCTCCTTGAGCTGTCACAGAGGGCACCACGTGACAGCGCCTGTCTTTCTTACCGCTGACCCCACACACCCTTCTCGAGCTCCAACACGGCGGGAGCTGGACTCCGGCACGATCCAAACCAAAAAGTCATTTTTTTGAAACACTGAAGTTTTTTAAATTTTAACATTTTATTTTGTTTTATGGTATAGTTCCACAGGTTCTGAAGTTGCCCACACCCTTCCCCAAGGTCCCCCCATCCCCACATTGATCTCCCCTCTAGTTTCTTCCTTTCTTTCTTTCTTTTTAAGATTTATTTATTTATTGGAAAGGCAGACATATAGAGAAGAGGAGAAACAGAGAGGAAGATCATCCATCCTATTCACTCCCCAAATGATCGCAACGGCCGGTGCTATGCCGGTTTGAAGCCAGGAGCCAGGGACTTCCTCCAGGTCTCCCACACGGGTGCAGGGTCCCAAAGTATTGGGCCGTTCTTGACTGTTTTCCCAGGCCACAGGCAGGGAGCTGGATGGGAAGCGGGGCTGCCGGGATTAAAACTGGCGCCCATATGGGATCCCGGCACGTTCAAGGCGAGGACTTTAGCCACTAGGCCACGCCACCAGGCCCGATTCCCCCTCTAGTTTCACAACGGATTCCTTCACGAACAGTCACAACTCCATCGTGGTGTTGTTGAAGTGTTTCTGGACAGTATAGGCATGGACATTGTCAGAGAGTCAGTCTACCTCTGGTCTGTATGCATAAACACACAGGACTTTGTCTCTGTATCTGAACAGTTCAGTCTGCTACACTTCCATTCTATGTCCCCTAAAATACAGAGCCAGTGAGCACAGTCCGCATCAGGGTGGAAACAATACGTTTTTATCAACATGATGTTAACATGCTACAAAAAAAAAAGCATCACAAGAGTAGTGAAAACAGGATTGTGGCACTGAAGAAATTATAATTAATAACTAGATGGGAGAGACACAGATACCAAGGAAGTGCAAAAAGGTTTTGCTATGCTGTGTTTGCATTGGTTTCAAGAAATTCTTAAATTTCTGCTCTAATTTCTTCTCTGACCCATTGTTCGTTCAGCACGTGTTGTTCATCACAACAGTTTACACATTTCCTGGGGGTGTTTTGATTTGTTGATCCCTAGTCTCACTCCATGGTGGTCTGAGAAAATGCATGCTATGATTTCAGTTTTTTTTTAAGTTGGTGAGGCTTTTTTTGTGACCTGTCATGTGGTCAATCCTGGAGACCATTCCATGTATAGCTGAGAAACACGTGCATTCAGTCTCTGGAAGGTTCTGTACGCACGTTTCAGGTTCATTTGTTCTACTGTCTGTGTGAGATCTGCTGCTTCTTGGCTGAGCTTCTGTCTCATCAATCTATTCATGTTCATGGGGAATTCAGGCATCCCATTATTATTGTATTGACATTTATGTCTCTAGGTTTGTCGATCGTTGTTTCACACAGCTGGGCGCTTTGCTGCATAGACATGTTCTGGTTATTTCTCTTGGCATAGGACTCCCTTTACCATCAGGTTGTGTACCGCTATCTCTTAATATTTTTCACAGTGAAGTCTTTCTCATTTGATAGCAGAATGGCTACACCAGCTCTTTTTTCTTTTCCATTGGCCTGGAATGTCCTTTTCCATCCTCTCACTTTGTTTCCTGGAGCATTTGTTGATTCGATGTGTTTCTTGTAGGTAAGAGATAGTTGGGTTCTGCTTTCTGATCCATTCTGTTGATCTGTCTTTTCACTGATGAGTTTAGGCCATTTGTGTTCAGAGTTATTGTTAATTTTTTGCACATTTTTAGTGTATTTGGGGGAAGAAGAGAGATAAAGGGAGAAGCCCCACCCAGCCTCCCAACCAACCCAGAGTCCCCGACGTGGGGTGTGCTCCAAGGGTCCTGCTTAAGAGCTTCTGACAGTTCAACAGTTTTGAATCGCAGCCCATCTTGTCATCACAAGCACGATGAAATCTCTCTAGAATCCACGGCAGAGTTATCACTGAGAGGTTGCGATTTAGTCCTGACGTGTGTGTGTGGGGGGGAGGGGGTGGTGGTTTAACTTTGGTTTCTTTCGTGGGATTTACTGGGAAGATCTTTCCCTTTGCCATCTCTGACTGTGACTAACTTCCTGTCTTTCTTTCTGACTTCAGCACATTTCTGAACAGTGTTCCCAGGGCTGCCTTAGTGTTGGCATATTCTCCCAGCTTCTCTTTACTATGAAACTATTTCATTTCATTATCAAATACAAACGAGAGCTTTGCTGGGTATATTTCCCTAGGTTGCAGTTTTTCTGCTTTAAGATCTGGAACGTGTTACTCCATTCTCTTCCTGCTTGAAGGGTCCGAGAAGTCGGCAGTGATTCTGAGTGTTAGCCGCTCCTTTTTGTGTTTGGTTCAATATTCTTTAAGTTGGGTGAAGGTCTTTTTGGATCGAATCTATTTGGTGTTCCCTGCCCTTCCTGTATTTGGCTTTCCCTTATGTTCCCAGTATGAAGGAAGTTCTCTTTTATAATTTCATTGAATACCTCCTGCAATCCTGCCTCTCCACTCTTTCAGGA